CCCCACGGCGGCAAAAAAAAAAAAAAAAAAAAAAAACCAACAAAAAATGGCAAAATTAAGTTTTAAGAACATATTTTATTTAATCTAATATATCCAAAATATTATCATTTCAATGTGTGATCATTGTAAAAAAAATTATCAGTGAGATATTTTACATTCTTTTTTCTGAACTTAGTCACCAAAATCCGGTGTATATTTTCCATTAGAGCACATCTCCATTTGGACTAGCCCCATTTCCAGTGCTCAATGGCCACTTGAGGCCTCAGTGGCCCCTTGAGGCCAGTGGCCACTGCATCCGACAGCTCAGGTGTAGAGGGTGGAAAAGGCCAGAGAAGCAGCAGGTTTGGGTGGGGCCTGGGGAAAGATGGTGTGGACATGTTGAGTTTGACATCCTGAGGGACACTCAGGGGGAGCTGTCCAAGAGACAGTTGGGCATTTGGATGTGGGACAAGAGAATGGGGGTTGGGGGTGGATGAGATGGCCCAGGAAGGCTATTCTGTGAAGCAAGGTGAGAAACGGACGGTAGCCAGGAACACACAGACCCTGACCTTCAGGCAGAGGCAGAGTAGCCATCAAAGAGAAGGAACAATCTGAGATGCCCATGGAAACAACCCACAAAGGGCAAGTTTCAACAGGGGTGGGTGGGGGTAAGGCTCCAGAGTGTCGGAAAACTGAAGGTGGAAGAAAGATTTTCTTTGGGAATGAAGGCCACTTGATGTGTTTGTAAGCCCTGATGAAGTGAGGAGAGGATCCCTGGTGGAGGAGGGATGTGTGTGTGTGTGTATGCGCGCGTGTGCATGTGTGTGTGCGTGTGTGTGTGTGTGTGTGTGTGTGTGTGGTGGTGGTGGTGATGGGGGTGTTGGGTGTTGGGTGTTGGATGTTCGGTGTTGGGGCTGTGAATGCCGCCACCCAGCTCAGGAACAGTGCCTGGCCCTGGGCAGACAGGTGCTCAATAAATACTTGTTGAATGAATGCATTGCTGATTGATATGAAGGGGGTATTCTCCCTTTGGATATGAAAGAGAGGACAGACGGATGGACAAGTGGTGAATGAGGCGGGGAGGGATGAGGTTGCCAGAAGGATGTGGGCCTGAGAGGCGCTGGAGGCTGGAAGAAGGGCTTCTGGGCGGCTGAGCCTGCCCGTGGTGGGGTGCGGGGCGGCCCTTCCACCCCTCCCTCCGGGGCCACCCTGACCGCCGGTGTCACCCCCTCCACCCAGGGAACTTTCCAGCAGATGTGGATCTCCAAGCAGGAATACGAGGAGGGCGGGAAGCAGTGCGTGGAACGGAAGTGCCCCTGAGGGCGCCCCCTCCCCACATACCCGCCCGCCCGCCGCTGTGTGGGGGGCGCGTCTTCGCAGCCACGCCCCCACACGCGCAGATCGAAGCCCCCTAAACCCCTGTGCCCACATCGGCCCTTCCTCTTTCCCTCTCGCCTTCTTAGATTGTGATGTTTCTGGGTTGAAAGAAGTAAAAATGTTTTAAGGGAAAAAAAAGTTTGGCCTTCTTGGGGGAGGGGAACGGACGCAGGGGTCTTGGGGGAGGCGAGGGGAGGGCTACATTCATGCCGCATCCCACTGTGACCGCCGGGGCACAGCCCCAGGAGTCACGGATTCCTCAGGTTTCAAAGAGGCCGCGACCCAGGGAGGACCCCGCAGCGCAGCGAGGACCTGGCGCGAGGGACAGCTGGAGCCAGGCCAGCCCTGGGCCGAGCCTGGGCGGGGCCGGGGGTGAGACCTGGGGTGGGCGGGGCCTCGGCGCGGGCCTCGGGTCTCAGGGGAGCAGCGCATGAGAACTCCAGGACCTGCAGCTCAGGTGAGCCGGGGCTGCGCTGTGCCTTCTTTTCCGAGGCTCTTGGTGGTGACAGGCATGGGGCGGGGTATTGCCCAAGTCGCTCAGAATTCCTCTTCGGACCTGGGTAGGAGCTGAGGTTTCCCAGGGAAGACCCCGACAGGAGGTGGGGTCGCCAGGGCAGCAGGAGCCAGGCCAGCCCTGGGCCGAGCCTGGGCGGGGCCGGGGGTGAGACCTGGGGTGGGCGGGGCCTCGGCGCGGGCCTCGGGTCTCAGGGGAGCAGCGCATGAGAACTCCAGGACCTGCAGCTCAGGTGAGCCGGGGCTGCGCTGTGCCTTCTTTTCCGAGGCTCTTGGTGGTGACAGGCATGGGGCGGGGTATTGCCCAAGTCGCTCAGAATTCCTCTTCGGACCTGGGTAGGAGCTGAGGTTTCCCAGGGAAGACCCCGACAGGAGGTGGGGTCGCCAGGGGGGAGACTGCTGAGCCCTCCTATTCAGAGCCATTTATGGGGTCCTTGGTGGAGTTTGGGGACCTGCGTCCCCTCCCTGAAATTGTAGGTAAAACTTAGCTGTGTGTGCCTGTGATGTCTTTCTGGGGTGAGGTTTCACGACTCTCAGAGGGTCCCAGACCCAAAAGAGGTAGAATCCAGTCTGATCCAAATCCTTTGGTGACCAAAGAGATGCCAGTGCCCAGAGAGGACCATGATTTGTTCAAGGTCACCCAGTTCTGCCCATGCCTTGGCCATGACTCTGTCACCCCCCAATGCCTTGTGAGCCCTGACCCCAGTACTCCCATCCTGGAACACTCGGTAGGCCCACCTGACCATGTGCTCACACCCATGCCTCTCCTTCCCCAGCAACTGGCAAGGGCCTGAGACCTGCCTTTCAGCCTGATTCCACATGACAGACATCCACATGGCCAGACCAACCCCCCCAAGTCATACCACTGTAGGCTTTCCAGCTTAGGATCCCAGTGGGGCAGGCATCAGGGTGGGGAGGGCAGCTCATGTATTACAGAACCTGGGCACTGGGGGGCCTGCAACTAGAAGATGGGAGAGGGTGGACGTTTTCACGGTGAACCTTCCACAGGGGTTTGGGGGACTTAGGAAGGGGTCCCCAAGGAAAGCACACTGGGAGTGGTGGAAGCAGGGCAGAGGGGACATCCATATCTCGGCCGTCTCCCCCATCAGCTTCCCTCCCCCACCACTGACTGGAACTAGCAGGCCAAAGTCTGCCCCGAGGTCGAAAAATTGATTGTTTTGCTGGGAGGGGGTGGGAGTGGGGCTTTGGAGGGATTGGCAGGGTAGGGCACAGCCCCTTGTGCTGTGGTCAGGGCTGGGGGGCTATGTCTGGAAGCTGGACTGAGGCCAGGACTGTGCCCCCACCCTTGGGGGGGTGGCAAGGAATGGCCTGGGCTAAGCTGCCTGCCAGGGCTGATAAGGGGCCCTCCTGGGGCTCTTGCAAACGGTTTATCACTGGTGGGGGGTCAGCCTGCAGGGTTCAGGAAGGGGCACGAGCATGGAGCGGCTTTGGGGTCTACTCCAGAGAGCGGTAAGACCAGAAGGGTTGGGGGTACACCTTAGGCCTTCTCTTCAGGTCCCTCAGGCCCCTCCCAAATCCCCACAGCTGGCCCCTCCTGGCCAGAGTCCTGGCCCCTCCCACTCCTACTTCTGTCTGTCCCCTTCAGTCTGCCTCTCAGGTCCCTCCCCCACTGCCTGGTGCACATTTGGCACCTTAAAGTCACTGACCCCATTATTGCCAGATCCCTCCCCATCTCTAGGCCTCTTCCCCCGATCTCATGCCCACTTCGCCCCCCACAGCAACAGTTGTCCCCACGACCCTCTCAGACCATCTACAAGCGTGTGGAAAGCACTCAGCAGGGGCACCTGGAGGAGGAAGAGGAGGACGGAGAGGAGGGGCCTGAGGCACGGGCCCACTTCTGCCCCATGGAGCTGACCGGCCCTGAGCCCCTGGGCTCTAGACCAGGGCAGCAAAACCTGGTACCCTGGGCAGCAGCAGGACGAAGGGCTGCCCCCTACCTGGTCCTGACAGCCTTACTGATCTTCACTGGGGGTGAGAGTCATCCCCCTTCCTGCCAGTGAAGGGCCGGGGCTGGGGGAACATTTCCAGGGTTCAGAGGGGAGCACAAGGAGAATCCCCATCTTGCCACCCGCCAGCCTTTCTTCTGGGTTACGTGGCCTTCCGAGGGTCCTGCCAGGCATGCGGGGACTCCGTGTTGGTGGTCAGTGAGGACGTCAACTATGAGTCCGGGCTGGACTCCCGCCAGGGCACGTTGTACTGGAGTGACCTCCAGGCCATGTTCCTGCGGCTCCTGGAGGAGGGGCGCCTGGAAGACACCATTAGGTAAGGATCAGCCTGCCCCCTTCCTGGCCCTCAAATGTCCTCCCTTCATGTGCTCAGTCTGGGCCTCCTTTCCTCCTCTCCCAAGACCCTGGTGTCTGGATCCCCCTTCTGAGTCCTGCCACCTGCCTCTCTGGCCCCCTGTTCAGCAGTCCTGTGAAGGATGGCAGGCATTCAGCGCTAAACTTCAGGGGCTCAGGCTCTGAGAGGGGCACACCTGGAAGATGAGGGAGCTGCGTGTCTGAATAAGAACAGAGGGGTCCATCATCCAGATGGGAGGCAGAACAGACCCAGAAAAGTCTTTATGCCACACCCAGGAGCCTGGGTTTGGATCTGTGGCCTACTTCCTGATTTTAATAGGAATGTTCTTTATAATACTTTATCATTGAGTCTGAACTTTACTGCAGACTCTGGACAGCTTTTTAAAATTGAATTAAGGAAGTTTCCTTCTATTCCTAGATTACTGGGACTTTTTTTTCTTTCTTTTTTTTTTAATGATAAGGAAAGGGCTGGCTGGTTAGGTCAGTTGATTAGAGTGTGCTGTTATAACACCAAGGTCAAGGATTCGGATCCCTATACTAGCCAGCCACAAAAAAAAAAAAAAAAAATCAGGAAAGGAAGACAAGTATGAAACTTTTTTCAAATATTTTTCCAGAATGTAATGAGATGGATGACCACATGATTTGTCATCTTTATGTCTGTGTAGTAATTTATTAATAGATTTCCTTGTCTTCAGGAGCTCAATGCTAAACATGATCAAGGTGTGTTATTACTCTTTTGATTTGCTGCTAGAAACTTCATCAAGATATCTTTTTACCTTGCTTAAAGACCTCAAATCTGTGCCAAAAAAAAAAAAAAAAAAAAATCAGGAAAGGAAGACAAGTATGAAACTTTTTTCAAATATTTTTCCAGAATGTAATGAGATGGATGACCACATGATTTGTCATCTTTATGTCTGTGTAGTAATTTATTAATAGATTTCCTTGTCTTCAGGAGCTCAATGCTAAACATGATCAAGGTGTGTTATTACTCTTTTGATTTGCTGCTAGAAACTTCATCAAGATATCTTTTTACCTTGCTTAAAGACCTCAAATCTGTGACATCGACAACATTCAGGGCTTTTAAAATTTTCTTGAGCAGCATTCAGTCATCTAGGTACAGGCTGAGCAGGTGGACGGTGTGACAGGCCTAGGGGTGGGGTGTGGCACTGTGTATGCCATCACAGGGCAGGGAGACAAGAAGGTAGCAGTTGGGGGGAGAGAGCAATGAACTGATGCATGGCTCTAGGTTGGATGGGGAAGGAAGCGAAACCAGGAGGATTGGGTACACTTGGAGAAATTGAACAATCTGGAGTACTTGATGGGGTTGAAGAACAGGTACCATGAGGGTATAGCAGTGAGGTGGAGTCTGAGAAGGTCTGGTCAGAGAGTAGGATTCTGGAACTTTGAAGATTTATCTGATAAACTGTGTCCTATTTATCTTGGAGTTTCCAGCCCTACCATAGTATCTGACACTTAGTAGGTGTTCAGTAAATCCTCAATGGATAAATACTCCAGAGGTGGAGTTCTAGGTAATGCCAAGATCCGGGATGTGACCAGGAAAGTGGTGGCTGGATTAGAGATGATATTGATGAGATAATTCCTTCATTTATCCAACAAATACTTTTGCACACCTGCTATGTGGCAGATACTGAGCTAAGCAGGTGGTGGTGATATAGCAGAAACCAAAATAGTCTGAGCTTTACCCTCATGGATCTTACAGTCTGTTGGAGGAAATAAATACCAAACTAATAACACATTGATGCCTACATAATTATTACTGAAATCATTGTTTTGAAAGAAAAGTAAAGGCTGTGAGAAATGACTGTAATCAGGGGACCTGATTTAGGTTGGGGGTCAGGGAAGGCTTCCTTGAAGAACTGACAGCTGAGACCCGAGGGACGAGTACTTTGCCAGACTAAGAGAAGGTGGACGGCCGGCCCGGTGGCGCACTGGAGAGTGCGCCGCTTGGGAGTGCGGCAGCACTCCTGCCGAGGGTTCGGATCCCATGTGGAGACCGGTTCCCGCTCACTGGCTGGGCGCGGTGCGGGCGCAACACCGAGGGTTGCAATCCTGTTGCCGGTCAGTAAAAAAGACAAAAAGGAAAAAAAAAAAGAGAAGGTGGAAAAGCATTTCAGCATGTGCAAAGGGTCTGAAGCAGGAAGATGGTGGTCTATTGGAGGAAGTGAAAGACGGTCCATGTGGCTGTTGAGGTGGACGTTGTTCAGGTCCTAAAGGGCCTTACTGGCTACATTAATTGTTTTGGATTTCATTCTAAGAGGAAAGAGAGAACTGAAGAGTTTCAAACAATAAAGTATCATGATCAGATGGGAGGGGAGGACAGACTTTGTTTTTAAGGTCCATCGTAAAGAATGGAGTTGATCATACTCCTGAGTCCATAGTTCGGTGTCCTCATGGGTCAGTGAAAGGAACTTCTGATTTAATTTTCCCTCCCTCATCTCTGTGGGCTCCTCCCCACCCCCGTCCTCCATAAGCACCTCATCTAACATTTTTGATATGTGCCTTTTAACACATAGATGGCTTTGACATATATGTAATGTTTTATGTGTATATGTAGGTTTTAAAAACAGTAATGTCTGTGTAAAATGCTTTATGTTTATTATTTTAAAATTTAACCAACACAGAAAAATGCAAAGAAGTAAAAAGAAAAAAAAATTCACTCCAAGACCCACTCTTCAGATATAGCTATCTTTAGTTTGTGTTTTTAATTTAGACAATTTTTAAAAAACAACACAATAGTTTGAAGGTCTATCTCTATTGCAGTATGTACATCTGGTTGACTGTTCCTTGCTGCTGCACAGGACTTCATAGTGTGCATCACCAGTTTTTACGTACCCATTGATGAGGTGCAGTTTCAAGCAAACATTTGAGGTTCTAGATGGGTACTGGATTGGGGTGACAGACACAGCACTGAGCCACGGATTGCAGTAGTCCTTACAAGAGCTGAGAGGCTGGTGGCTGAGACTAAGGTGTCTCATCCATGTGAGACTAAGGTGTCTCTTCACGTGGAAGTAGTGTGGAGGCATAGCAACTGAGGTGTGGAGAGGAACATGATAAGCCAGATGCTAAAGTCCTCAGTGAGAGTTGACAGGCAACTGACTGATTAGAAGATAACAGCAGGGAAAAGGGAGAGAGGATGGGAGAGCTGGGTGGACCCAGCTTCAAAGGGAGAGAGTTTTACCCAAAGAGAAATGGTCAGAATTGGAAAAGTTGGCCGAGGAGCACGCCTCCACTCCATGTCCCAGGGGATGAGAACCGGAGCCATTCCTTCTTAAGAGTCCCCTTTGGCCTCTCAAGGGAGAGCCAGGTTTCCGCCAAGGCATGACGATGAGTGGGGAGGGGAGCTTGTTTGCCATGGAAAGGGCACAGGTGGAGTCGCTTGACAGGTAGGCCATGCTGGGGCAGCCCATGGCAGAGATGAGATGGAAGAACAGGGAGACTTCAGGTGACAACCTGATCATTGAGTGGTGACTGCAATGAGGTCTGCAATGAGACAAGCGATCCAACGTTTCCACTGGGAGCCTTGGTGAAAGGTGTCTCCATGAGACCCTGATGGGGGATGGAAGAGTTGGAGAGTCTGTCCACTCAGCCCTTTGGAAGAAAAGCGTTTTTGTGCCAGGGGAGGGGGGCAAAGCACAGGGGCGTGGGGGGGGGCAAAGCACAGGGGTGTGTGTGTGTGTGTGTGTGTGTGTGTGTGTGTGTGTGTGTGTGTGTGTGTGTCTGTAGAGGGAAATAGATGGGTTGGTGAGTTTGGCCTGAGCCAGGAAGAGGCAGAACCTTTAGCTATGGGAAGCTAACGTTTTAAGCGGGAGGCCCTGAAGACCCTCGGGCGGGCGCAGTCCTGTTGGTGATGGGAGAGAACAGGTCACCTGGGAGAGGAGCTTTTCCCTAAACATAGGAGGCGCCCACCGCCCTGCCTGGGGAGACATCCCCTGCCCCCACTCCCCTCGCCCGTCTCTAGCGTCCTCTCCTCCAGACTCCCAGAAGTCTCAGGCCCTCTCCCCTCTTGATCCCTAATCCCGCCTCTCCTCGTTCAGGCAAACCAGCCTTCGGGAACGGGTGGCCGGCTCAGCCGGGATGGCCGCCCTGACTCAGGACATCAGCGCGGCGCTGTCGCGCCAGAAGCTGGACCACGTGTGGACCGACACGCACTACGTGGGGCTGCAGTTCCCCGACCCGTGAGTGCGTGGGGGGCGTGGCGGGGGGCGCGGCGGCGGGGGGGCGCTCACCACCCCCGCTCCTCAGGGCTCACCCCAACACCCTGCACTGGGTCGATGCGGCCGGAAAGGCCGGGGAGCAGCTGCCGCTGGAGGACCCCGATGCCTACTGTCCCTACAGCGCCACCGGCAACACCACGGTGAGCTCCCCTTGCCCGCCCCCAGGCTGGAGGGCAGCGCGCGCCCTTTGCCGGGTGGCGGAGGAGGGACGTGGCGAGCGCGCCTCACGGTCCTCCGCGTCCCCAGGGAGAACTGGTGTACGCCAACTATGGGCGGCCGCAGGATCTGCAGGAGCTGCGCGCCAGGGGCGTGGAGCCGGCGGGCCGCCTCCTGCTGGTGCGCGTGGGGGTGACCAGCTTTGCGCAGAAGGTGAGTCCCGGCACTGGGGAGGGTGTGGAGCGGGCGATTGCGGGCTGGGGAACCGAGGGTCGTAAGAAAATATTGGGTGGGGGGGGACACAATCAGGAGGCTCGGGGAAATCAGATGGGGGAGGGAACAGAAACCCGGGGGACTGTGGGGTCCGGTGGGGTTTGAGAGCTGCCACGCACTGTGGGAGAGCGGTAAGACAAGGTCCGGGCGGTGCCCGCACACAGCCTCTCCGTGGGAGGCACAGTTGCAGATCAGAGGCTGCCATTTCACTTCTCCTCACTTCTCCTGCCCTTATGACATGAACCGGTTTTCTCTGGGAGGAGGAGGAGTCCTGTAGCCACTTCCCTCCCCCAGGTGGCCAGTGCCCAGGACTTTGGGGCCCGAGGAGTGCTCATATACCCCGACCCAGCAGACTTCTCCCAGGACCCACTTAAGCTGAGCCTGTCCAGCCACCGGGCTGTGTATGGACATGTGAGTCTGGGGGAAGCCAGCAGCATCTTCTGGCAGGCCCGGGGCCACACCTCTTTGGTTGTGGCTGGCAAAGCTACTCCTGAAAGCCCAGCTCACAGCTTCAAGGTGGGAACCTCTTTCTCTACAGGTGCACCTGGGAACTGGGGACCCCTACACACCTGGCTTTCCTTCCTTCAATCAAACCCAGTTCCCTCCAGTTGAATCCTCTGGCCTCCCCAGCATCCCAGCCCAGCCCATCAGTGCAGACATCGCCTCCCACCTGCTGAGGTGAGGGGAATATGGGGGACCAGGAGAGGAGGAGGCAGAGAGGGAGGCTAGCCATAGAGTGGCTTTGGGTGAACTAGAGAAAAGCTACCCTTCTGGGCAGACACAGCCTTTTGCCGAGGCCCACCATTTGGTGACTGGAGTTCCAGCTGGACTGCAGATCCACCTCTCCTGGGCACCCTGGAGCAGGACACAACCGGCACAACGGTCCAAGGCAGCCCTGGCTGGACTGCCCCCCTAGGCAGGGTGCAGAGGCAGGGATCTGGAGCCAGAGGGTGGGAGGGAGAGAAGGAGCGAAGAGGGGGTTTTAGGCTTTTCTGTAGCCTGGGCCTCTCTCTGCCACTGCCAACCCTTTTTGCCTTACTCCTCTTCAGGAAGCTTGAAGGCCCTGTGGCCCCCCAGGAATGGCAGGGGCACCTCCCAGGCTCCCCTTATCGCCTGGGTCCCGGGCCAGGCCTGCAGCTAGGGGTCAACAACCACAAGGTTTCCACCCCCATCAGCAACATCTTTGGCTGCATCGAGGGCTTCTCAGAGCCAGGTGTGCTTGCTTGCCCAGCATCACCCACAGCTTGCGGAGGGGAGGCTCTGCTCACAAACCCTGCCCAGAGACGGGGCTGGTGCAGAAGGTCCCGGAGGGTGGTGCTCAGCAAGTTGAGGCTGAACTGGGACTGATGGGGGTGGCAGAGAGGAGACTTCTCATTCCAGCCTATCTAGGGATGGAGTAGGCAGTGTTCACAGTAGTGAGTTCCCGAGCACTGGAGGAGAGCAAGCATAGTTGGATGATGTTTGTAACAGAGACTCAAGCATGAAAGAGAGGTCGGAGATTACATAGATGACTCTTTCAAGCATAACTAGATGTGGGTGGTGGTGGTAGGGAATCAAAGTAGGTTGTTGAGTTGGAGAGCAGGGCATGAGAGCAGTTGGCAGAAGAATGTGGCGCTGATAAGCACCCAGACACAGGCGCAGGGAGGCCTATGCTGAGGATGCTGGTGGGAGTGGGGGTCGGGGGAAGGGCTGGAGAGAGATTTAAAACAAGACCCTGTGACCAGTGGGCCATAGCCGCCAGGGAGGGAACAGGGTCCCACCCCAGGCATTCCGCTGAAGGAGTAGGCCATTTGGGGAAGGCCAAGGGAAGAAGGGGCACTCTCTTTAGGAACAACAGGGATTGCAGGGCTGGGGCTGCTGAGATGTGAGGGGCTCAGAGATGGAAGCTGGTGAAGGCCCTGGAAGTACTTGCCCTCCCAGAGTGCAGGGGGAAGACTTTGAGTACCCCCAGTGTAAGAGGTGGGCCCCAACATTCCCACCCCAGATCACTATGTTGTCATCGGGGCCCAGAGGGATGCATGGGGCCCAGGAGCAGCCAAGTCTGCTGTGGGGACTGCCATACTGCTGGAGCTGGTGCGGACCTTTTCCTCCATGCTGAGCAATGGTAAGGTCAGGGGCTGGGCCTGGCGGGCAGAGCTGGGGCTATGGCTGGAGTCAGGACTGGGGCAGAGAGGCAGTTAGGAGCACAGACTAGAGGGTGGTCACTCAGACCTGGCTCTTCCTCGTCCTAGCTGTGTGGCCCTGGGCAAGTCACTTCACCCTTATTTCCTCATTTAAAAATGGAAGTAATAATAGTCAACCATGGATCTGAGTGAAGATTAAGCAGGAGATTCTATATGTAGAACCGTCTCCATCACTATTATAATTGAGTGAGAGCACACCCAGGGCAAGACAGGCTGGGCTAGGGGTTTTCATGAGAGGGAAGGAGGGACTCTGGGGGACCAGGGCAGAGGAAACAAAGCAGTGAGGGGTCTTTGCCTGGCCCCAGCTGAGCCCATCCTCTACCCTCCCACCCCTCCCCGCCCCAGGATTCCGGCCCCGCAGGAGTCTTCTCTTCATCAGCTGGGATGGAGGCGACTTTGGGAGTGTGGGCTCCACGGAGTGGCTGGAGGTGATGTGCGGTCCTGGGCAGGTGGTCAGGTAGTGGGGAGAGGTGGGGGGGTTCATGCTCCACACTTGGCCCACCCACAGGGCTACCTCAGCGTGCTGCACCTCAAAGCCGTAGTCTATGTGAGCCTGGACAACGCAGTGCTGGGTGAGCGGGGCTATGCCACCACCTGTCCCCTCAGGTCCACCCTTGCCCCTGGGGCTAAGCCTTGAGTCTGGCATCCCTCCCTCCCCTCTCTTCAGGTGATGACAAGTTCCACGCCAAGACCAGCCCCCTTCTGATCAGCCTCATTGAGAACATCCTGAAGCAGGCAAGGGCCAACCCAGGAATGGGGGATGAAGGGAAGGGGCTGGGGAGAGGGGAGGTAGGTAAAGCCTGACCCGTGTCCCCCACCCTGCCCCAGGTGGACTCTCCTAACCACAGTGGACAGACCCTCCATGAGCAGTTGGTGTTCACCAATTCCAGCTGGGATGCTGAGGTGTAAGTCTGGGTGAGGGGGGATCTGGGGGGTGGTGTGGGGAGGCTGAGCCCTCCAATCTGCCCGCCCGCAGGATCCAGCCCCTGCCCATGGACAGCAGCGCCTATTCCTTCACTGCCTTTGTGGGGGTCCCTGCCGTGGAGTTCTCCTTTATGGAGGTGAGACTTCCTCACCCTGCCCCATGGCACCAGTCTCTTGGCCTGCATGCACCATGCTCCTGCTCCAGCCCGCCCTCTGTCCCAGCAGGACGACCAGGCCTACCCGTTCCTGCACACGAAGGAGGACACATATGAGAACCTGCACAAAATGCTGCGAGGCCGTCTGCCCGCAGTGGCCCAGGCTGTGGCCCAGCTGGCTGGGCAGCTCCTCATCCGGCTCAGCCACGATCACCTTCTGCCCCTGGACTTTGGCCGCTACGGGGACGTGGTCCTCAGGCACATCGGCAGCCTCAACGAGTACTCTGGGGACCTCAAGGTCCAAGATGCCAACCCCACTCCCGGCCCCTGGGGTTGGGTGACGCTATATGCCCTTGGAGTGCTGCCTAGGCCAGGGGTCCCGCCCCTCTTCGCCCCAATCCCTGGAGTCTAGGTCCCCTCTGGCATCCTGGACCTTTTACTCTTGCTGCCAGCCACCTCATCCTTGAGGACCCCCATGATATGCCCACCCCCAACCTCACAGGTCCAGGGTCTTCTCCCCCTCCTCCTTCATTCGGCACCCAGCACTCTGCCTTCCTATACCTCCTCGCTCCTGCCACGCCCCAGGTCCTAGCCCTGTTCCCCAGCACCTTGACCCCATCCTAGGCCAGGCTCCTGGCCCCTGCCTCCGGCCCCAGCCCACACCTCCACCCTCAGGCCCGCGGGCTGACTCTGCAGTGGGTGTACTCTGCGCGGGGGGACTACATCCGGGCCGCGGAGAAGCTGCGGAAGGAGATCTACAGCTCGGAGCAAAGCGACGAGAGGCTGATGCGCATGTACAACGTGCGCATTATGCGGGTGAGGTCCCCCTCTCTTCCCCAGCCCTGGCGCCACATGTTGGCTCATCTCCCGTCCCTCCGCCTTCATTACGCTGACGAGTCCCTGTCCTCTGGGTGCTCCAAGTCCTGGACACGGAATACTTACAAACCTGCCAGGCTAGAGGGCTTGAGCGATCACTGAGGCACGCCTAACAAAGTGATAAAATGGACAGGGAGGGACAGCCCCTCGTCCTCAGTGGCCCAGCCAACGCCTGGCAGAACTGGGATGGGACACACCACCAACCCCGCGTGCGTGCACACACACACACACACACAGCTCCTACTGCACACACACACACACACACACACACACACACACACACACACACACAGCTCCTACTGCACACACAGCTCCCACTGCACACACAGCTCCCACTGCTCAGAGCGTGGAGAGCGCTCTTCCTTTTGGTAATGAGATGGGTGAAATCCAGAAAAACTGCCTGGAGGAGGTGTCATGTGAAAGTTAAGATCTTATTCCAGTAAGGTTGGAGTTGCCAATCCCTCCTGCTTAGCTATGAATACTTTGCAGCCCGCCCCCGGCCCCCAGATTCTACCTGTCCTCTTCCATTTAAGAACTCAGCCCCTCAACCCTGTGATCTTGGGAAATGCGTGGGAAGGGACTGTGGGCATGGGAGAAGACCTATAAGGCAAAATTATAAGCAGGACCGTCCTCAGTGAGTGTGGGCTGAGCAGGGGTGTACACACTGAGCCTCGTGTGCACACATATGCACTTTCAGAGAACATGTCTGCCACTTGAAGGTTCATGTGCTTTCTTCCCGTTGCTTTTCCCTGCTTGCGCCCTGCCCGTCTCCTCTGGCATCACTCATTCCTTCTTTCTGTTTACAAACCTGTTGCTCTTGCTCTTTCCTTGCTCCTATCTCCTGGTCTCTCATTCTCTCCTCCTCAGTCTCCTCTTCTTCCTCCTCTACTGTTCTCTCCTTTTCCTTTCATTCTCCCCCTCCCATTGTCCCCTCCACTGAGACACATGTGGCCCTGGGGTGAGACTAGAGATTGGGCATGGCTCGTTCTCATTTACAGATCTTGGTTTAACCCCTGCTGTGTCAGACTCCAGGAACAAGAGAAGACAATCCTCTGCCAAAGTTGCCACACACCCCTCAGGCTCAGGGCTGGAAAGGGCTTAGGACTTCAGAGCCTGAAACATAAGGCAAGATCAGACCAAGGGAACTTTGTGGCTCTAGACCAGGGGTTGGTAAACTATAGCCAGAGGGCACATTCAGCCTGCTGCCTGTTTTTGTAAATAAAGTTTTATTGCAACCCGGCCACGTCATTGGTTTTCATATGGTCCATGACTGCTTTTGTATTACAGCAGCAACATTGAGTAGCTGCAATAGAAACAGTATGGCCTGCAAAGCCTAAAATATTTACTATCTGGATTTTTGCAGAAAAAGTTTGCTGACCCCTGCTTTAGATTGTGACTTGAAGAACAGGCAGAACCTGGGTTGGTGCAAAGAAAAGAGGACATATGAGGGTGGAGAGACCCAGAATAAGGGTGTGGCAGCGAAGTAGGCCTGGCTTCCCTTGGAAGCAGGGCGTGGACCAACAGAGCCAGAACAGAAGCCCTGTGGAGAGGCAGGGGGTGGGAGCACCAAATAGTGGGTGAGGGATCAATGTAAGGAGTCTGGAATGCCAGGATAAGAAGTTTGGATTATGGGGGTCTGGGATCAAGGAAATTAGGAAGGTTTTTCAGCAGGGAGGGGATGTGGGCAAAGTGGAGTTTTTAGGAAGGATTTTGGGCAGAGTGTAAATGGCCTGGTGAGGGACTGAAGTTAATGAAGACTGAGCTCTGGGTGAGGGTGGCAGGTGGCAGCAAATGCCTGTAGGCGGGGACTAGACTGATGTGAGACATTTGGAAGAAAAAATGGACAGACTGGGTGTTGAGGGAAGAGGAAGAGAATAATAATAGCAGCTGCAATATATAGAGGGCTGCCATGTGCTAGGGGCTTTACTTCATTTTCTCCCATAGGACTCCCCCAAACTCTGTGAGGTCGCTAATGTTGTACACAGAGACTGAGGCTGAGAGAGACTAAGTAACTTCCCCAAGATCAAATAGTAAGTGGTGGAGCTGAAATTAGAGACTAGGCAGTCTAAGCCCAAAGCCTGTGCTCTCTGTCACCTTTGAGGTTGAGAGCCTGGCACCTGGGGAAGACTAGTGCTCAGGAGGGAATGTGGGTGCAAGGCTCAGGTTTTGGAAGAGGTTAGTGCCAACGTGTGTGAGGCTAGGTCCAGGTGCCCCCTTACCCAGTGGGGGGTCCAGAAGGCTAGAGGGCAGGATTCCAGTGGGTGATTTGGTGAGGAGATTTAGCAGCAGATCCGCACAGGTCCTGGTTGGAGCCAGGCGCATGGATGAGCTCTGTGAGTGAACGATGGAGGCCTTAAAAAGATAGGAGTGGCTGAGACCACCCTTAGAGATTCTGATTTTGCTGGGGTGGCACCCAGGCAATGGTAATTTAAAAATCTTTCCTAGGTGATTCTAGCATGCAGCCAGAGCTGAGAACCACTGGGCTGGCAGGTGGGAGGAGAAAGGAAAAAGGTAAAACAAAGTGAGATCGAACCTTGAGATCTGCCCACAGGCAGGAGCAGAAGGAACCAGAGAGGCTGGCAGGAAGGTGGGAGGAGAACTAGGCCAGGAGCAAAGCCATCTTAGGAAAGAGGGAACAGCATCTGGGTCAGAGGGTGACGACGGGAGAATCAGGTGTTTTATTAGGACTGGGCTGTCCCCTTGACCTTTGACTCTGGGCTGTGGACACTGGTGGAGGTGGGACAGAATGACAGGAGTGTGGGGAGGTGTGTTAAGAAGAGGAACAGAAGCACATGGGTTGTTCTCTGAGGCTTTGGCTAGGGAAGTGAATGGGTGAAGAAGGGAGACTGGGGGGAACTAGATGCAGGCGTGGGGGCTCTAAAGATAAAAAGGGAATGGAACCCAAAACACAGCTGGAGGATGCGTCCTACTTGACTACCGGTGATGCCACAGGATGGCTATTCGTGATTGGACAGCCAAAGGGGGTGGAGCTTAAGGAAGGTGCTTAACCGTATTTATTGAGCAGGTACTAGTTCCGAAGCCGAGTTTCCCACCCCGACCTGATCTCTCTCTCGGCGCAGGTGGAGTTCTACTTCCTGTCACAGTATGTGTCGCCGGCCGACTCCCCTTTCCGCCACATCTTCCTGGGCCATGGAGACCACACGCTGGGAGCCCTGCTCGACCACCTGCGGCTGCTGCGCACCGGCGGCTCCGGGGTCCCTGAGGCCAGATCCTCAGCGGCGGCGCCCGGCCTAGGCTTCCAGGAGAGCCGCTTCCGGCGCCAGCTGGCCCTGCTCACCTGGACCCTGCAGGGGGCAGCCAACGCGCTTAGCGGGGACGTCTGGAACATTGATAACAACTTCTGAGGCTCCACTGCCAAGGGGCTCCACATACCCCTGCCCCCCTGCCCAGAATTCCTCCTCTCCCCGTTTGAGCGATGCAGGGTGATGGAGGCAGCCCACGCACAGATTTCTTATTGGCCTTTCTTGTCTCTGTGGGGACCGGACCCTAGCGCAGACACCCACACACCCCTGGGCCCTGCAGTGTAAGCGAACGGTCCTTCCATAATGTGAAGGTCATACTTTCGATTAATCACAGAATAGCGTCCCTTCTGTCAATCACAGCCCCTTCCCCCTTCAGGAGCAAGGTCCCCCATACCTAGAGACCACTCTGGAAGGTTTGCTGGGACCTGGCCAGCTGTCTTACTGTGAGAGATCTCTGGTACCATACCTTTATGGCCAATAGGAGGTCTGTGGGGAGGGGCATAGTGTTTGGAAATCAATAAACCACCTAGTGACATCTGTTGTTCATAAGCACCTTCAGGTTTCTTCCTTGCCCGCATCCCCACCCCATTGTCCATCCCTTGAGACCTAGGGAAGAGCTGAGCAGAAGGGACCAGAAAGGATGCATGTGGGAATGCTGTCTCCACGGGGAAAACTGAGCTTTTCCTGTTACCCAAGGAAACTGCCTAAGGAGATAACACAGGTCCATTCTCCAAAGACCACTGTGGGGTGGGGACTGGCCCTGTATCTTCTCCTGGGGCCAGGGATTTGCAAGTCCTTGTGCAAAATGAAAACAGAGTCTCTTGTTCAAAAAGCAGAAACAAAACTTTTTTTTCTTCCACAGTCTCTCAACCTGTCATGTTCTTTTATTTGCTATTGAATGTCACACTCCCTCAGATGTGGAGATTCTCTGGGGTTATGCGCAGACCCTCATAGGTATTCGGGGTTCTGCCCTACAACTTGGTAGGAAGAGCTCATGAGCCATGACCCTCCGTTCGTGCACCCAGGGCCCTGCTGGGGAAGGAGAGGATGACAGCTGTTCCTGGGTGGGGAGCTGGCAGCTGAGAACCCACCCAGGGGAGGCAGGAGTCCCAGCACATGCTCCGCTCTCCCATCAGACTTCACTTCCAAAACATAAATTCAGAGATAAAATGTTCAAGAGTTTCAGGATGGCAACCACAAGTATTAAAAACCAAACACATGGGCCGGCCCCGTGGCGCACTCAGGAGAGTGCAGCGCTGGGAGCGCAGTGGCGCTCCCGCCGCGGGTTCGGATCCTATATAGGAATGGCCGGTGCGCTCACTGGCAGAGCGTGGTGTGGGCAACACCACACCAAGGGTTGTGATCCCCTTACCGGTCACGAAAAAGACAAAAACAAAAAACAAAAAAAACACAGACCCCTCTTCTGAGCACAATGGTCTCATTCACTGGCAGAGCGTGGTGTGGGCAACACCACACCAAGGGTTGTGATCCCCTTACCGGTCACGAAAAAGACAAAAACAAAAAACAAAAAAAACACAGACCCCTCTTCTGAGCACAATGGTCTCATAAGACCACAACGGTCCCATCCAGTCAAGTTGGCCTTGTCTGGAACATCTCCCTGGGGATCCCCTTTGGCCAATGAGGGTGTCGTCACTGAGATACAAGCTACAGGAGGGCAGGGAATTTTAAACAATGTTGGTACCTCTTGACTTTTAATCACAGCTCCCGGAGGTCATGGCCCTGGCTCTCACTCCCAGGGCAGCTGCATAAATCCTAGGGCCCATCTCTCAGGCTACTTGGTCCTCCCTTGCTCCTGGCATAGCATGAGAGGGCTCGGCCAGCTCCTCAGGACACCAGGAAGTAAAGGCCTCTTAGTTGAAGGCTTGGGATGCTACTGCCCCTGGGTTTGGGAATGAAGTTGCCCCCTCCTTAGCCTCCTGACCCTGATTTAGGGGGTTCTCGGGACCCTGAACTGGGGTTAGAAGCCTCCTCAACTATTTGCTTCCCTGACATACAGTCCAGAACAATATCCAAAAGCAGCTACTCAGTCCTTCCTCACTCTGTCCATTTGCTCCCTGTGGTAGACCGAATAATGGTCTGACAAAGATGCCCACGTCCTAATCCCTGAAACTTGTGGATGAATGTTACCTAACATGACAAAATGGACTTTGCAGTGGTGATTAAGTGAAGGACAGATGGAGTTTGGATGTGTTGTCCCCTGCAAAACTCCAATGTGGCAGTGTTGGAAACTGATTGAGTCATGGGGGCGGATCCCTCATGAATGGATTAATGCTCTCCCTGGGGGAGGGGGGAGTAATGAGTGAGTTCTCGCTCTATTAGTTCCCGCGAGAGCTTGTTGCTCAAAAAGACCCTGGCACCTCCCCTCTCTCTCTGGCTTCCTCTCACCATGTGATCTGCTTGTACCCACCAGCCACCTGCCACTTTCCACCATGAGTAGAAGCAGCCTGAGGCCTGTGCCAGATGCAGCTGTCTCTCTCTCTCTCTCTCTCTCTCTCGCTTCCTCTCGCCATGTGATCTGCTTGTACCCACTGCTGCCTGCCACTTTCTGCCATGAATAGAAGCAGCCTGAGGCCCACATCAGATGCAGCTGTCCCAGTATTGTAAGCCAAATAAACCTCTTTCCTTTATAAATTACCCAGTCTCAGGTATTTCCGTTATAGCAACACAAAACTGACTAAAACAAGAACGTTGAGATGGAGGGTATTATAGGCTGAATTGTGCCCCTCCCCCAATTCATATGTTAAAGCCCCAGAATGTCGGAGTGTGACTGTCCTTAAGGAGGTGATTATGTTAAAATGAGGCTGTGAATTTGAAATGGGTCCTAACCCAATCTGACTGGTATCCTTATAAGAAGAGGAAATTTGGACACACAAAGAGACACAGGAATGCGCATGCACAGAGGGAAGACCATGTGAAGACACAGCAAGAAGGTGGCTGTCTCCAAGGAGAGAGGCCACAGAAGGAACCAACCCTGCTGACGTCTTGATCTTGTACTTCTATCCTGCAGATCTGTAAGAAAGTAAACTTCTGTTGTTTAAGCCACCAGGTCTGTGCTATTCTGTTAAGGCAGGTTTAGCAAACCAACACAGGGAGATTATCCTGGATTGGGGGGTGGAAGGAGGAGGGAGGTCAGAGGAAGATTTGGAATTGCTACGCTCCCGGTTTTAAAGATGGGGGGGTGCAGCTGCCAATATATATATAGGCTGGCTGGTTAATTCAGTTGGTTAGAGCATAGCCTTGTAACACTAAGGTCAAGGGTTCTGATCCCCATACCGGCCAGCCGCAAAAATAAATAAATAAATATGGAGGGAGGCTGGCTGGTTGGCTCAGTTGGTTCAGTTGGTTAGAGTGCAGTCTTGCAACACCAAGGTCAAGGGTTTGGATCCCCATAGGAGCCAGCCACCAGTCAATCAATCAATCAATAAATGAATAAATAAATAAAATAAGGAGGAAGGGTGTTGGCCAGTTAGCTCAGTTGGTTAGAAGTTCGATCCCTGTACTGGCCACCTGCTAAAAATAAATAAAGCTGGAGAAAGGGGCCACAAGCCAAGGAATGCAGATGGCCTGTGGAAGTTGGAAGAGGCAAGGAAATAGATTCTCTCCTGGTGCTTTCCAAAGGAATGCAGCCCTGCTGATACCCCAGAAGACTCAGTTTGGATTTCTGACTCCCAGAACTATAAGAAAAAATATTTGTGTTATTTTAAGCCACCAAGTTTGCGATAATTTGTTACAGCATCTACAAGAAATGAATACACTCTCACTCCAACTGCTGTAAGCTCAGTTTTTTTTTTAAAAGATGACCGGTAAGGGGATCTTAACCCTTGGCTTGGTGTTGTCAGCACCACGCTCAGCCAGTGAGTGAACCGGCCATCCCTATATGGGATCCGAACCCGGGGCCTTGGTGTTATCAGCACCGCACTCTACTGAGTGAGCCACGGGCCGGCCCTAAGCTCAGTTTTCTAAAAAGTTTTTTTCTAAAAAAAGTCTGTGTCCCAACCCACCCCCCCAAACTGTGTCTCAGAAAGCCTTCTTTTTTTTTTTTTTCTTTTTAAAGCATCTGGCTGGTATGAGGATCCGAACTCTTGACTTTGGTGTTATTAGCACCACACTCTAACCAACTGAGCTAACCCGCCAGCCTTCAGAAATCCTTCTTGACCTGCTGGCAACAGGCCTTTTCACAACAAATACTAGCAGGATCATTAACCTGTGTGGTACAAATGTATTTTGGGGACCTGGGCACAGCCAGTTCAGAATGAATGGTTATCATCCATACACATGTAATTTGGTGAGAGGGGTTTGGGCTCTTTGTGGAAAGAGCTCTCCCTGGACTCCTGGACACAGACTAGAGACCCATTCTCTGCACACTATCAGGGCCATGCCCCACTGGGGCCAGCTCTGGATATAGGAGGGACCAGACTACCAGAGCAGTGGGGCAGGTCCCAAGGCCCCCAAAGTAAAGCTGGAACAACTGATAACCTTCTCGTGGTGTAACAGACTGGGTCTATCTTAACATTATCTTTTTTAAATTTTTTTTTTTTTAAAAAGATGACCGGTAAGGGGATCTTAACCCTCAACTTGGTGTTGTCAGCACCATGCTCTCCCAAGTGAGCCACGGGCTGGCCCTCCAATGCCTTCATTTTAGAGGTAGAAATAGAAACTCAGAGAAACTGAATGACTTGCTCAAGGTCACATGGATTTTTTGATGCAGTACCAGGACTAACTCAGGTCTTTTAAATCCTCACTGGGTCTCTCACTGCCACAGGAGCCTGGGTCCCTTGGGAATGGGGGCAAGAGGTACTGGAGGCCAGAGGTACTAGAGGCCATTTGGGTATCAAGAAAGAAGTGGGAAGATAGGGGCAAGTACCCTACGTTTCTCATTTTAATTTTAAAAATTTATTTTATTCAACTTGGAAAATGAGTACAAATCCCTGCGTATTTTGGGGGGTGGCGGTGGTGGGGGGGTAGGCTGGGAGGAGAAGAAGAGAGTAGGAGTTGAGGCAAGGTATGAGCATCACAGTGGCTGCCTCAAGTCCCTGCCCAGGGAGTGTGCAGCAGGGGTGGGGCAGGGAACTCAGGTCCGGAGGAACACCATGGTGAGGAGGCCTGGGGAGGGCAGAAAGAAATAGCAAGGTATGAGCAGCCCGGGGTGCTGTGAGCCCTCCCGCTGGCCCCTGCTCCCCTTTCTCTGGGGCCTGGATCCCCAACCACTACTGTGCTCACCCAAGACATAGGCTGCCACCAACTTTTGTCCCAGGGAGACGTGTAGGACTTGAGGCAGCTGGCTGCCGAGTTCGTCCTGCAGTGGGAGCAGCAGGAAGGCCACAGAGACTACGCCCGTCAGCAAGAAGAGGAGGAAGGAGCTGGTGGCCAGTTGTGGGCGGGGGTCTGGGAAACAAGGCTCATTGTCAGAAGCTGCAGCCCCCACCCCTGCCCAGCCCAAGGTCCCCTTTCTCTGGGGCCTGGATCCAGGAGGAGACTGAACATGGAAAATGTATCTACTTTTTATCACCCTCTAGGGGCACACTGCATGTGTCCTGTACTCCTGGAGTCTCTATCCTCACGGCCACAGGAAACCCTCTCTCCGCTGGGTCCTCAGTGTTCATTTTCTCTTTCACTCTGCTTTCGCTGCCGTCTTCTGTGCACCTGTCTGACAGGGGGGACCTCTCTCTACCTCTCATACCCAGCGCACAACTTGGTACAGCGTAATTGCTCAATACAGGTTTCTTATTGAACTTAATAGAGCGGGCACATGCTTAGACCTAAGGAAGGACTTTTCCCACCAAGTAGAAGCCAGAAACCTGGAAAACTGCAAAGTCTTTTTTCCCCTTAACCTGATATAAAATCTCACCTCCTAGGAATGTTTCCATCAAAAGGCAGAAGACTGAACCAGGAGACTTCTTCAAATCCAATTTAGCTCATTCTACAGTAAAGCTAATTCCTCCCTCTCTACAGAACTCAAGAATCCCCATCTCCAACTCACTCTCCTGGGAGTGTCTGGCCGTGGGTGGTGCTGACCAGGCAGGAGGTCCTGGGTGGGGCGTTGGGTCAGGCTGTCCCTGAAGCTCAAGGGGGGATGCTGGGGCTCTCAGAACAGAGGTGATGTCTTTGCGTCCCACCACACGGCCTGCAGCTCCCTCCTCAGACAGCTCAATGCGAAAGCGGTCCTGGACATCATAGTGGCTGGGAATGGGGGCCACGTGGCGAATCACACTGGTTCCAAGGTAGAAGAGAGGCCCATTGAGAGGAAGTGAGTGAGAGGCAGTAATCCAAGCAAATCCGGGCCTTCCCCCCAGGAGCTTTTCCCTTAGGGATGCAGACAGAGGGTGGGGAAAACAGGTTAAAGACGACAGTCTCAGACCTAAGACAACAGATGGTAGATACCCCTGGCTTCCACCAGTCCCCGTCCTCCCAGCTCACTCACATGTCAATGCAGGACTGAGGCTTCACATATCCTTCTGCGTCAAACACCGTGTATTTGGCAGGTGCTGTGCACAGGACTGGGGGATAAAGATACAAAGAGACCTTAGACAAGCTATGCCAGTGTTGGGCATGCCTTCTACCCCAGGGCTGAACATCACTCATCCAGTCCGCCAAGGTTGGACATCTGACCCTACTCATCCCCCAGCCCACAAAGCCCCCCAACATCCTGCCGCCATTCCCCAGATCCCTAGCATGAGGCGCCCATCCCTTCACCTCGGAAGCGAAGCGCAGTTCCTGTAGGGTTATAGAGGGTCAGCAGCTGTCGGGGTCCACTCCGCTGGTCCGCCCTGAATACTAGATCCGGGGGAAAGACGAGGACGGGGACAACGGGTCCGGAGGGAGGAGGGGCACCCCGGGACCCCCGTCCAGGGGCCCCCGGCCCCACCAGCTCCTGGTCCTGGGGCGCCCCACGGCGCATGCAGGCTCTGGGAGGTCGGACATCCGAGGGCAGAGCTCAGGGAACAGGGTATGGAGTCTAGGGCTAGGGGGCACGAGGGGCGAGAGGGGACAAGATGAGATTGTCGGGCAGGGCGTGGACTGATGCCGCCGCCGCCTCGGAACCCCGCTACATAGGGTTCCGACAGACCCAGGCCCAGGCCCCCCAAACTATCCGCCTTTCCAGCTCTACCCCCAGGTCCCTTTAGACCCGGCCCCCAAGCCCCACCTCGATGATCACGCCCACCCCACTAAACCCAGCCCCGGCTCGGGCACTCCATAATCCCCGCCCTGCAGCAGGCCCCGCCCCTTCCGGGCGTTCCGAGGCTCCCGCCCCCTCTCTCCGGCCAGACTCCTGCGGCTACCGCGGCCTCCTCCGGAGCTGCCGTTTCATGCCTCCCGCTCTCTGGGAGACATGTCTGTGTCGCGGGCCCACGCCCCATCGGGTTCCGCCTCCTAACGGCCTTTAGTGTAATGATGCTTACTTTGTGGTCAAAGCACCTGCCAATCAGCCTGTGCCCAGGCCAAGGATGCCATCTCATCGACGGTCCCTTTCTGCACTTCCGCCGTACGACGTCTGTCATTGGCCAGGGCGGCCTCGTTTCCGCCGGAACTATACGCCGATTGGTGCGCTTAAAAACCAAACAGAACGCCCCCGTCCTGGGGGTCCTGATTGGCTTGACCCCAGTGACGAAAGGATTTTGTGGGCGTCTCTGGCTAGAACTCTGGGCCTAGACATAACTCGGAGAGACCGGGCGGGGCTGCGAGCTGAGCTTTGTTCCTTCCTCCATGCTTTGAGACCGTCTAACTCACTCTATCTTCCACACAGAAGCCCTTTTTTTCCACTTAAATTCTAGGCTTTCCTAGAAGCCTCTGCAGCAACCAAACCCTGTTTTCTATAGTACTAGTTGGAGGTTGCTGTCAGTTGGGACTTAAATCTCAGCCCAGGACTATTCTATAGTTTTTCTGCTTCCTTCACAGACCTGGGAAATCACTCACATTTGGACAGGAAATTAACATTTGCCAAACCCTGCCACTTAAACATCGTTTCATCGAATCTTCAACTCCTTTTACAGATTAACCTCGAGTCTCTGGCAAGTTCACACAAAAACAAAGTTGATCATATGGGAAAGCCTTCCCTGAGCACCCTATCATATGTAGAACCCGCCCCCGTCCTCTTATCATGCTTTTGTCCTCTTTATAGCATTTATATCGCTACTTGACATCGTATTTTATTGTTTATCTCTGCTCCAGTAGAATGTTCTCTCTTCTCCACAAGAGCTGGGACTTTGTTTTGTTTTGTATCTTCAGCACTGGAAATAGTGCCTGCCATTTGGAATGAACAAATGAATGAGTGACTAAGATGAACTTTGAGCAGAGGTCTGGTTTGCATTAGGAAGCGAGCCATGAGATATCTATGGAAAATAACTCTGGGTAGAGGGAACAGCAAAGGCCTGAAGCAGAAGTGTACTAGAAATGGCCAGCGTGGCCAGCAAGACCAGGACCAGATGGTGGGAGAGACAACAGTAAGAGCTGAGATGAGGTGGGAGGGAGGATGCAGATTACCTAGAGCCTTAAAACCCATGATAAGATTTTGGATTTTATTCTGAGACTGGTGGGAAACTACGGGAGTTTTGAGCAAAGGAGTTACAAGATCGGACTTTTTTTTTCTTTAAGGGCCACGGGGAGCCTGGCCAGTGGAGCCTGCCCCCGACCCCTACATTCTTAAAAGATTATTCTGCATAGTAAACATCTGTTGATTTAATTAATTAAAAGAAATCCCCAAGATGAGCCCCTTAAACCATAGAAATGAAGATCTGATCCCTTCCTCAGTTAAACATTTATTTGGATAAGAAAGGAAACCCAAGAACTAGAGGCAGCAGCTGGCCTGGATCTCAGGCCTCGGACTCAGCAGCCCCCACAGATTGAGAGGAGCACTTCCTCTTGCTTAGGTTGGTAAGGATCTGGTCTTGGTTGGGCCGGTAGAGAACCACGAAGCTCTCTGGAGGAAGGACGGGACCTCTGTTCTCTTCTACCTGGCCCATCAGCAGATAACTGGATCCTGGGTAAAGGAGGGAGGGATTGAGAGCTTAAGTTACTGAGACCTTGTCAACACATTTTCTCATTAAGATTCTACACGTCTATCATTTTAGTGTGGCTAACACCCCCTCTCCATTTCCCTACATCTCTGTTACCTTTCTTCATGGGGGGGCACTGCTTGCAGGGCACATAAAACTTCAGGGAGGTGTCAGTGGGTGGAGAAGGCAGGTCCAGTCCTCCAGTTTTGTAAGCACCAATGAGACTGACAGTGACAGTGAGGCCTTCGCCTGGGCCCCGAACCATGGACTTTACTGTTGCAGTTACCACTGTGGGAGAAAAGGGGTGAATGATGAGGAACCAGGAGCCAGGGTAGGAGATGAGGAGCCAGGAGCCAGGGCAGAACTGGAACCAGAATCGGGAGGGGTTGGGGTGGAGTGGGGTGTGCTGGTTAGGGAAGCCAAAAGAGCAGGGTCGGCAGAATGGGGCTTCTTACCCAGGTTGCTGGAACAGAAGTTGCTCTGCAAGGTGCCTGTCCTCCGGCACTGCTTTGGGCAGGGGACACTGGGTGCATCTAGTAGGGAGAGGAGGATGTTTTGGAAGGTTGATCTACCCAGCAGGTAGGAGGGACCACTTTCCCCATATCAGCCTCATTGATTTGAACTTGTTCAGAGCTCTATCCAGCTTTGGGTCCTGGGACACAGTACCAGCTATTGATATGAAGGAGGCATCAGTGAATGAATGAATGAAACAGCTCCCTTCAGTCCTCACCCACTTCTTCCCCTTTCCGAGACTCACCTGGGCCCACTGGAGTTGCCTCGGCCTCAGGTGAGGCCTCTGATTTCTCTGCAGGTGGGACTCGGGGTTTGGTGGGCGACTTGACTTTGGGACCAGGTCGGGCGTCTTCACCCGGGCTCCGGGCTGGCCCCTCTTCGGCAGCACCCCGCGGCAGGATCTTGTAGGAGGCTGAGAAGCCATCGGCGGTGACGCTGAGATCCGAGACGAATTGGACGAGGAGCTCGTTCCCTTCGGAGGAGATGGGGCTGCGGGCGGTGGGGCATTAGGGGAGGCATCAGGAAGGGCCCAGCACCCTGCTCCTTCTCCAGCCCGGTGGCCTTTTTAACCTCTGCCTCTCCGTCAACTGTACTAGCTTCCTGACTTCGCAGAGTCCCACTCACATCTCGATCCGCAGACCCCAGACCCGGGATCAAGCCTTCTTTCTGCCTGGCCTACCTGCTCCAACCGCCAGTTTGGAGCCCAAGGGCTCAGATCCAGCCCCTGCTGCTAAACCCACCCCTCAGAACAACAGTGTGGTACCCCCCGCTGTCTCACCTGGGGCACTGGAGACGCCCGGGCCCGCAACCCACCCAGCCCCCGCCCCCTCACCCCGGGGCCGTATCACCGCAGAACTTCCCCAGCCTCTTTGCATCGTCGCTCTCGGGTCCGTTGAACACGCTGACCGAGTCGTAGCGGCAGTAGGTGTCGGGTTCCAGGTCAAACTTCCCGAAGGTCAGCGCGATCACCTGGCGGCGGGTCGAGGTGGAGGCTGCTCTGCAGGACCCAGGCGCCCTGCACCTCTCACCCCCTCCACCCCGCCGCCTCCTGTACGCTTGTAAAGCGGGCTCCTCTCTCACTTCCCGGGTCCCCTTGACCTCTCTGTCCTTAAAGCATTCACACCACGGCTCGGAGGATCATATACACCCATGGGACCCTGCAGGTGCGTCGGTCGCTGTCCTCGGCAAGGTCCAGTCCTGGCTTACTCTCAAGAGACAGACCCCTCCACCCCCTTAACACACATAGAGTTTGTATCAGCACCGTGTACCTCGCTCTCAAGACTCGCCACAGTTGTAATTTTACATATTTTGTTTGAGTGCAAGCAGGGTCTGGGTCTGTTTTTGCTCCCCGCCAGCGCAAGCTCAGTGCTCGGGATAAGGTAGATGTTCGATAAATCTTTGCTGGCTGCATGCTGGAGGACGCCGCCTGGGTCCCGGAGGGCAGCCCGGGCAGGGGGTCCGTACCTGGTCCGGCGGCGCGACGATGTGCCAGGAACAGCTGATGCCCGGGGGGTAATCGGACTCGGGCCAGTTGGGCGTGGTCAGGGTTCCCTGGGCCTTCTCCAGCCGCCCCCCGCAAAATTGGTGCTCTGGGGAGGGGAGAGAGGAGCGGGGGTGGGGGGCAGTGGAGATCCTTGGTCAGCTCGAGGGGAGCTCTAGGCTGGGAGCCCGGGCAGGAAGCTCGAATGTCTGGGTCTCAGGATGAGGGTACGAGAAGAGGGGGAGGAAAGAGGGAGGGAGGTTAGCAGAGAGCGGGCCGGGAGGTGCGGGGCTCAGGGAGATCTCGGACCGCCGGGCGCCCAGGCTGGCGTGGAAGGGGAGGAGGAATCGGCTGGACGTGCTCTCTTCTTGCCCCTCCCGAACCCGCGGCCACACCGCGCCTCTTCCCCTGGGAGATCCCATCTCCCCGGCCCGGCAGAAGAGTCCCCTTTGTAGGCTGGAGGGCCCCCACGCTGTGAGAGTGCCCTCGACTTGGGGCACAGCCCCCGAGGCCCCTTTGGGGAGGCTCCTGCCTTAAACATTTCAAGGGAGACTTCTGCCGCCAGGAGGGGGTGATGGGACCGCAATCGGGAGCCCACAGCTGGGTGTAGGGGGCTGCGGGTTGGGGGAACCTAGTCCCCCGGCCCTGGGATGCCCCCTCGCGCCCATGTGAGGGAGCCCGATTGCGGACGGGGGCGGGCAGTTACTCACCGTCCCAGTAACCCCAGGCCGCCCATTCCACCCGCGGGTCGGTGACCCATTTCCGCCTTGCGCCTGGGGGGGGGCCTGGAAGAGGGGGTGGGCGGGAGCGGGAGTGGGGAGAGAAGACGGGGAGGAGGGACTGAAGGGGCAGTTAGTGAGGAAAAAGGGTAAGGGAAACAATGGGGGCCCTAGGCTCTTGGGCGCGGGGGTTGTATCTGGGTTGAGGTTAGGGCTGGGGGCGGGGCCTGCGCCGGGGGCGGGGCCAGGAGAGGGGCAAGGCGGAGGTGAGGGAGGTCTCACCAGTGCCTGAGGTGGCCCGCCCGCTGTACCAGAGCAGGAAGCCTCGTCCTCCTGTGCCCTCGTCCGCCGTCATCCTCAGGGTCACCTGGTTGCCGGGGGCGACTAGAGGTGCCGGCCGGAAGGTCCCGCAGAAGCGTCCAAGCCGCTGGCCCGAAGTTCCAGACCCGGCAAAGACCTCCAGAGCATCGTAACGGCAGGCGGGGTGCAGCTCCAGGTCGAAGACTCGGAAGGAGAGGGACACAGTCTGGCCCTCAGGGACCTGACGATGGGGAAGGGGAAGGGAGACTCACAAAGTCAGCCCACGCACAACCCAGGCAGAGGGCATCTTCCCTTTCCCAAGAGTTTCCTACAGGAATTGGGCCTGAATGGGAAGGGACCCCATGTGGGTGCAGAGCAGAGGGCCTAGGCTCTACAGCAGGCATGTGGCTTGTGCAAGGGACAAGACCCGAGGTCTTTGGAGAGATTAGAAAGGGCAGGAGAACTGGGAGTGGAGAATCAGGATTTGAGTTAAGGGTCAAGAGTTAACAAGCGTGAGGGCACTTGTTAATGACTGATGCCCTCAGTGACCAGGAGAGGACTTGGAGTTCCCCAGATTGAGAAGGTGGTGCTTTGTGTGAGGAGGGTCCCTTAGCAGTTAGGCCTTTGCCTGGGAGACTTTGATAAGGGGGTTGACCAGAGGGGCCTTCTCACCGTTATTGTCCAGATGCACTCCTTGTTGGGGGGGTAGAGGTTGGGGAAGCCCTCACTGGCCACGTAACCTGACTCCCCAGTCACAACCCCTCCGCACAGGAACACAGGTCTGGAGAACAGAAGAGGGGTTAGTCAGGAGCCGGGGAGTAATGGAGAGACAGGGATAGGGTATTGAGGATGGGAGGCTGGGGGTATGAAGGAGCAGGGCCAAAGGGACCTGGGGCAGCCTCAGTCAGCCAGGATGGGATTGGGGTGGGAAATACTCCAATGGAGGATAAGGAAAAAGTGGGACCAGCAACTCGACCATTCCTCCAACCCCCCAGAGTCCCCACCCCCACCCCCACCCCAATAGGAATTCCCGGAATCCTCCTCGGTCCCCCTTCTTCACTCTCCCCCCTCGCCCTGCCTGGCAGTCGGGGACAGGAGCCGCCTAACTACTTCCAGATGTGGACATAGCCACGAGGCGATGGGGGGAGGGGGCGGAGAGATGAGGGGAGCAGCAGCAGCGATGGCCCTTGAACTGCCTGGAGACCAGGATTCCTGAGCTCCCAATCTTTGCCCTGCTCCTGTTCCAGCTAACTACTTGAGTATCTGCCTCCCAAGTCTCCCATTCACTGCCCCCTCATCTCCCCACAATTTCTAATTCCTTCTTGGAATCCAGATGTCCAGCTACCAGGCAAGTTCAGTGTCTTGGCTCTCTTAGGTTCCATGGGGGGCCAAGGGTCTGGGAGGATGGGGAGACTTGAGAGAGTAGAGGATGAAGGGTGGAGGAATGGGAGCAGTGGCGACCTGCAGGAGACTGTGGTCTTGCAGCAGAGGGGGAGAACGTGGGGGCCAAGGAAGGATGGGCTTGGTGGGAAGTCTGTGGGGTGGTGTGTTAGCAAAAGAACCGCAAGCTCCACAGGCATTACTCCCGAGGAATCAGGGTTTTGAAGCTCACTTGAGCTATATGGATGATGCCGAGAGACCTACCTGGTGTAGTTGGGGGTCTGGCCATGGGCAAAAGGCATCAGGGCCCATGCAGTGAGGAGGGGCCCCAGGAGGCAGGCTGTGGCAGCAGGCAGCATGGCCAGAGGGGGAAAGGTGCTGGGGTTCTCGAGACAGAGGCAGCAGCTGAGTTTAGCAGCGGCAGCGGCGGCAGCAGCAGGATAATCAGTGCCAGATGAGGCAGCCTCGGGTGTGTGGGCGTGGGGACTGGCCAGTGGGGCGGGCGCGGGGAAGGCGGGACAGGGAGAGTAGAGCCTGGACAGTGGCGAGTCTAGGGGCCTCTCTAGGTTTAGGACACATAAATATTGACCTAAATGGGGGGTGGAGCAATGAGGGGCAGAAGCCATAATCCAGGCATCAAGTAATTGAGGCATCTGGAACCCAGCACCCTGTGAACACAGCCTCTGGTCCTTCCCCAGCCCAGGATCCTCCCCACTCCCCACTTCCTCAGAACCCACAGGAAGGCCTTCCTTAGACTCCCAACCTCTAACCACTCACCTGCTTCCTGACCACCCTCTGGCCCAGCTTATTTCCCACTTCAGATGCCTATTACTTCCTTTCCATACCTGGGCCAGACTAAGCCAAGAGAAAGAATTCTGCTCACCCATTTTCTCTTCCAAATAATTGAAGGTACATGAGAGGGCTAGGGAAGCATGGTAAGTGGATGAAGGGAGTGTCCATCTTACTGAGGAAAAGGGGGACAGAGAAGAAAGGGGAGAAAAGGACAGAACTGGGAGGTAAACAAGAGGAAGAGAGGAGGGGGCTGACTTCACAGGAATGCAGGGAAATGGGTAGGAGGCTTTCTGGAGTCAGAAGGAAGTAGCCTCCTCATGATGGGGATAAGTCTGGTAGACAGAGGATCTAAGCAGGGGAACCAACTAGTATATGTTGCCTGAGCTGTTCCAAAGCTGGGGCCAGGACTTCCAAGTCAAAAAGACTGGGTGGGGTCTTAGGGGTGGGTAGGGGAAAGCAAGCTGAAGGACGTAGGTGCTGTCAGCTCTGCAGCAACTGAGAGCTTGAGCCACTTGTGCTCTGCCTGCCCTCACCTGTGCTCCTGCCTCCCACCCACTGAGTCAGGCCTTGGGCTCCCCAACCCCTGCCCCATGTCCCTCCTAGGCCCCAGGGTTCCAAACCAGGCCTTGCTTCAGCCTTTTATTCTATTTGTCCGTCAAATATCTTGTCCTTGATAGTCAGGTTGGGGGCCCCTCCTGGGAAGCCCCCTGAACATTTTACAAAACAGTTTCCTGCCTGACCTGACATGTCTAACAGTCCCCATCCCACTGCGACCCAACCCCATGCACACACAGTGTTCATTGCTACCACTCCATCCCTCCTTAGCCCCTGGCCCAGGCCCAGACTCCCTCCAGGGGTAAGGGTAGGAGAGGGGGGTCAGCTCTCAGGGGTCGGGGAGCCTGGGTCAACTGCTCCAGCAGCCCTCTGCAGCATGTCCAGGGCCTCCCAGAAGAAATCCTTCTGTGCAGCCGTCAAGGGCATCCAGCCCACGATCTCCTTCATCTTTTCCATGCGGTCCTGCAATGTGGAGCAACTGTGGATCTGGCTTAGATACTCCTCACAGGCCCAGGCCACCTCCCCAGGTGTTCCGGCCCCCAGGCTGGGCTCAGGATTCCCCACCACCCTGCTGGCTGGCAGGTCCCGGTAAGCAGGATGGTGCTCAATGTCGTGGCTGGACAGCATGTAGAGGCATTCTCTGGTGGAGCAGAGAGAGCAGGCACACAAAGGGACCTTGGAGGAGAGAAGGGGCATGGCTGACTGGAGCTTTTACTGAAGGGGTTCCCAGGAAACCCAGGCTAATCTGGCTTCTGTGTTCCTCCCTCTCAAACCAGCCCTGAGCCAGCAAGTGAGATACAGCTGGCTAAGTGCTAGGGTTGTGTGAGGTCAGACAAGGCCAGCAGGGTCTGCTAAGGCAGAGAGCTGTAGTGCGTGGCAGGAAAGGGAGGTGGGGGTGGTTCTGGGGAAAGGGAACCCATGGGTCCTTGCAGGAGTCCCAGTTACAGTCCTGAAGGCTACCTGGCTCTGCTGCTCTTCCCCTCCCTGGTTGCCCGCTCGCCTGACCCTGCTCTGACCTTGATGTCGAGCTTGACGAAGGAGGCACTCCCCTTAGGCCAGCCGGGCAGGCGGCCTCCAGCCCCACAGCCACAGCCCAGCAGCTCCTTGCTGAAGTCCGAGCCTTGGCTCAGCACCAGGGAGTGGTTGAGGCCACACCACAGGGCAACAGGGCGTTGCAGATAATGTACCTGAGGACACATGGCCGGGGTCCCTGAGAGGGGAACAGGGGGGCCGGGCTCCAGAAGGTTGACTGGAAGGCTCAGGGCGGAATGTAAACTAGGGAGGGAAGAAATGGGAGCCAGCATCCCCCCACCCCCACCCCCAGCAGGTCTGCCCTGCTGAATGCAGATTGCTAGCAATCTGTCCCTTCTCATTACCCCTGCAACCCTCAACAGTCTGACCACATGGGGTCTAGCACTTCTGCTGGTCCCTCATCTTTCTTCCCAGAAAATAAGCTCCTTGCCTGAGGGCAGGGCCTCCATCTACCCCCTCATTGTCAGCTCACACACAGGTCTGTGCCAGTCCAACCTCTCATCCTGCCTTAGCGGGAGGACCAGCCTTCCTCCTCCCAAGAGTTAAAGCCTCCTTCCCTCTGTGCAATTCCAGATTAGCCCCCGAGGAAGGACTTTCCTTCCACTGTCCTTCCCTTCCCTCTCTAGCGTTTTCAATTTGTCATATCATTATCTTCCACAATGGCCACGCTACTTTGAAAAAACATTTCTACCTGATTCCTGCTGCTTCTTACCTCTCTTAAGTGGCAGAACTGGTTACATGACTACCCTAAGGTTGACCACATTCTTGTTCCTCACCACAGCCAGTCTTTTGTGAACCTCCTTGTGATCTGGCTTCTCTCCTCACTATGCTACTGACATGTTCTCTCCAAAGGCACTTGACCTCCCAGCTGCTAAATCCCAGGGCCTCTCCTGCATGCTCATTCTCCTGAGACTAGTTAGTGTTTTAATTCTGAAGACACAGATAAGTAACTTATGGTCATAATAGCAAAATCACAAAATATTTGCAAGCAAAAATTAATTTAAAAATCACTGGAAATTCTTCTACCCATTATTAACATCTTGCTGGATATTCTTCAGCTGTTGCCTAAACAAACAAACACACTTAAGTTGTGTATTTTTAAACAAAAATGAGATCGTACTATGAAAACTATTTCATAAATGTTTTTTCACCTAAAAATATGGCATGACCATCTTTTCATGTCAGTAAATATATTCCTACATTGTCATCTTGTCACCATTAACCACCCTCTCACCTACCCCCTTTGAATATTCTTGCTCCCATGGCTTCTGGGATATGGCTTTGAGGCGCCTGCCTCCTGTCAGAGACATATCTTCTTTTTCACCCTGCCTACAATAGTGGATTCTGCCCAGATCTGCTCCTCTATCTCCACTTTTGTACTTTCGACCTTGTTGCAACTTGGTATCTAACTGCCTGCTAGACATTTCCAATTTAGTGTTTTACTCTCACTGCAAAAAGTCCAAATTCACATTCTTTGTCTTCAAGTGAGTATCCCTTTTGCAGCTCTCACATTTGTTGGCAATATAGTCTTTTGTCCAGAGCCTCCTTCGTCTTATACCCCTCTTCTTAAAACTAATCAATTTTGAGGGCCTGTTCATTTTCTTCCAGAACACTTTCTGTATCCATTCCTTTCCATTCTCTCTGCTCCTGTACCAGTTCCAGGCCCTTGACTCAAGTTCTGCCATCACATGGCAGCCTCCTAGTGGGCTTCCCAGTCTTGCCCTCCTGTGTACTATGACAGCCGACCTGTTCTCAGTCACCCCTTGGGGGTCGCCTTCCCGTACTCTGGAACCTGCAATGACTCTTCCCCAAATCTATACCTCTCCAGGCTGTTCCCACCTAGACTGCCTCACATCTCACTGATTCCCAGTACACCCTGTCTGCTTTAGTTAGACCAGTCTTTGCACTGTTCCAGGTAGGTGCAAGCTTCATCCCCATCCCTATGACACTGAATGCCTTTCCCTATCCCCACCTGAATCCTATCTAACCCATGAGGCCCAGCTCATACCTCTCCACTCTAGTTGCTCTAGCCCACTCAGGTCCCCCACCCCAGCCCTTCACTAAAACCCTATTGCCCTTACAGCATGCACCATACAGAACAGACCTCATAGTGCCAACCCTGGGTAAGCCATGCGACAGTCTAACAGTGTATCAATCACAGGCATGACATATTAATGGGCTTAACCTTTCTTTGGGGAGTAGAAAGTGGATTCTATGGAAATTGGAGAAGTGGACAGATCCAGGGGTTAGGGAATTGGGAGGAAGGGGGTTGGGATGAGAGTTTCTGGAAAACAATTTCACCTGTGTGGGTTCCCCACGGTCCATTTTGTCCCCTGTTCCCAGCTGCCCATATCTGTTATTTCCCTGCATAAAGATTCGGCCAAATTCATCCACCAGGCCAACATGATTGTAGCCAAGAGCACAAAATAGGATCTAGGAGATAATACAGAAAGGGGAGGTGGGCATTCAGTTCTCTCCAGAGGAACTGTGAGCTCCAGAATCTCCCAACCGCTAACCTGCCATCCCCAGCTGATCTCTTCCAGCTTTGCCCTTCATGTTGGCCCTCTCCTCAGGTCCCCTGTCCCTCCCAGATCATTCATTTGATTTTTGCTCATATTTAAGACCCTTGATACCTTCTAATCTCTAAAGCCCCACCCCCCTGGTCTGCCCTGCCTCTCCAGGATCCTACCTTGGCAGGCAGTGAGAGAGCAAGTGGCATCTGCTGGTCCAGGGGGTCAAAGGCTTGAAGGGTCCCAAAGAGATCACGATACACCCCTGGGGTATGCACCTCAAAATATACTCCCCCCTGGTCTGGGGGGTTGGGAGCCCTCAGTTCAGCAGCTTTGGGCACCCATTTCCTATAAGGGATAAGGCCCCATCCGGGATGAAAGGTGCTAGACCCAGGGAGTCTCACACCCACCAGAAATGCATCAGTTATGATGGCTGGGAACCTAAACACATCTTTTCCCTAGGATGCCCTAAGGGGTTCACCACAGAAGTGCAATTAGGGTAAGGGGTGTCGATGTTTGGAGTGTCTATCTAAGGCTGGGGTCCTGGGAGGAAGGGAGGTGGTTCTTACCTGTGATATAGAGGGTACTGCTCTGGTTGGAAGCCATGCAGGCCACACTCAGGTGAGGCAGGCAACAAGACACCTTCCTCAGGGCCAACTGAACTGTGTAGGAGCGTGGCTGGTCCAACTGGGTCTCATTCACTACCAAAGAGTAGATCTTTCCTTCCTCTGGGGGATGGGGGGCGGCAGACAATTATGTGGGGGAGGGGACTCTCCAACATCCATATTAATGTCCCAATAGGCTCCCTAAGCCATATGGGATAAAACATTTACTGCCCTAGAGTGGGGCTGGAAGTAAAAGGAAAGGGTGACCTCAAGTTCCCTAGACTTCAGCCCCCAAAACAAATAAGCACTTCAGCACAAGAGGCAAGTGTAGAGAAAACCTAGCAGTTAGATTTGGCAGACTCAAATTTGCCTGTCGGGAAGAATGAGATCTGGGGATTTACAGCCCTGTCTAGCATTCAGAAGTCCAGACGGTCTCAGGCTTGGGGATGTGGTCAAGAATAGAGGACACTGGGAAAGTGGGGAGCAGTTTGGGGTATAAAGTGAGGTGCCTGGCATGGAAATTGGGGAGATCAGAATTTTAAAAATCAGGCATTCACTACAGCAGTGGTTTCTAAATTATTTTTTGGCAGCAGGGCCCTTTATTCATATGAAATATTATGCAGAGTCCTAGACGAGGAGACAGATAAAAGCAGAGCTATTTGGATTGAGACCAGGATGAGGTAGCATGCGGACCCCTGTCTGAGAGGGCTTCCTCCCCATCACTGGCAGCAGGGCCTGAAGAATCTGCAGGAAACAATTTGCAAACCACTGCTTTAGGCCATACCTGTGAGGAGCAGTAGAGCCCGCTGGGTCTCCTGACCAACCAGCACAATCTGTTTGAAACTCATGGAGTGATGGAATGTCATCTTGAAGACCCGCTGCCCACTGGACTGCAGATAGACCTCAACACAGTCGCATGCCCGACTGCCGGTTGTGCCTAACACTCCTGGCTGCTCCCGAGTAGCCAAGACGTAGAGGTATTTACGATAAACTGTGTCACATCTTGGGTCCGAGGCAAACTGTGGGAAAAGATGAAGGTGTCTGGGACCTAGGGCCTCAGAATGGGATAATGCTGGGCCATTGGATGATGAAATACTTGGGTCTAGGGCTGGGAAATAAGGACTTGTTTTCAGGTTCCTGGTGTGGGAGGGCAGATTTAGAGGACACCTCAGGACTGGTGGGGGCACTGGGTCCCTCAAGGAGGAGCAGGTTTTCAGCCGCCAGGGTCCTACTACTCACATCCTTAGCTCCACGACACAACACAACATAGCGGCAGGCCCGCTTCCATTGGATCTGGCCAAGGGTGGAAGAGACCAGGGCGTTTTTGAGGAAGAAGAGGGTCCCTACATAGTCGAGAATGAATATGTGGTCCTTGGTGGGCAAGAAGCGGCGGTAGCCATGGGCTAGCAGGGGGGCTACGCTCTTGCTGAGACATCGGCGGCGGCCTCCAAATGCCTGGAAATACAGGCCCTTCGTGTCTGGAGAAGAGGAGGAGATGGAAGGTTCAGGGAGTGGGGATGATGTGAAGGATATGAATCAGAGCTTGGGTACATTAGATTTCTCGGGCACCCTGGTATTTATCTTCTCCCCATTCCCAGGATTAGGGAACAGACCCCTTCCAAAGGAGATGTGGGAAGCTTAGATTATACCCTATGTTTGAACTTTAGTTCTCTGCCCCACCTCAGCCCAGGGTCATACATGTACTGCTTAGTGAGCACTCATTTGGTCTAACCTTGCATCTGACATCAAGTGAAATATAAGAATAAATACTTAGAAAAGAGGCAGAAAGAGGAGTGAAAAGGAATGATGGAGAAAGGCCAGTAACCTTCCCCCACCTCCAGCTCTGGATCTGCTATCCGGACGCTTCTCTGTTAATCTCCCATTATGCGAAAGCAAGTAATTGGATAGAGGCTCCCTGGAGGAGATGGGGTTTAGAGCATGGTTCTCAAGCTGAGGTTGATTTTGTCCCTCTGGGGACACTGATTGTCACAACTAGGGTATCAGGTGGGTAGAGGCCAGAAATGCTGCTCAACATCCTATACTGCACAGGACAGGCCCCTACAACCAAGAATTTTTTGCCCAAAATGTCAACTGTGACAAGGTTGAGAAATCCTGGTTTAGAGGACGGAAAACTCCAGGTTTGGGGAGTAAGTATGCATCTAGGGTAAGATGTGGAAGAGTTTGTATACTGAGGGAGACTTGGCAGGGATGCTGCTAATGGGAGCTGCAGGTGGGATGCCTATCAGAGGGTGGCTCTAGAGACTTGGAGGAAGTACTCCATGGAGTATGCCTGAATCTGACAAGTTTTTTCCCAGAGAAAAGGGTCCTGGAAGGTTGATGGAGAGTACAGAGGTCATCAGGAGGGATAGAGCAGAAGGGATCCCAGGATAAAGTGGGACAGAGGCAAGAATTGGAGGTTCTGGGGAAGGTGTACAGTTAAGAATGGCAGCTCTCTTCCAGGGCCGGACCCCAGAACCCTGCTCTCGGAAGCGCGGACAGAGCCTGCGACAGATGCATCTCCACACGCCCTCAGCATCGCACACTTTGTGGAAGTAGCGGCAGGTCTGGCCTAGGGCGACTAAGTCTCTGACTGGGAGGAATGAGATGATATGCTCCACCTGGGGGGCAGGAGGGAGGAAGATGTCATTGGTGGCCTCTCAGTGGTCTGGCCCCCAGCCCTTTATTCTCAATACCTCCCCTCCAAGGACTCACCAGCTCTGGGGGGAACAATTGAACAGAAATAGGGTTTCCTCTCCCCTTCTTCTCTTCAACCCCAAGCTCTGGGCCACAAGAAGGGCAGCTCCGCTTCACCTACCCAAGGAAAATGGGAACACAGGGGTTCTATCAGGGTCACACTTCTTTTGCTCCCTTCTCTCAGCCTGTCTTTCATTAACTCATGTCTTGGGGCTCATCTAACTCCAGTTCTGTGCTGTCAAATCCTCCTATCTCTCCCACCAGGTCCACAGGTCATCTCTCCCTGTCTGCCTTGTTCCTTGGCCCAACTTCTTCAGATAGTCCCCCCGGATCTTTTGCCTTGCCACCTGCTCACCCCGAGCCCCTCCTCCTGTTGGCACAGCCCAGTGAATTTATGCAGCTTCTGTCTCAGGCTTCTCCTTACCATCCTGCCTGCTCCCTCCCTGCTCCTGCTCTCAACTCTCTGGGGCCTTTGGCCCTCCACTCCACTCAGCTCCCTGGCCCCCGTTGCCTTTCCCACACCATGTCCTCTGCCTGGGCTTGGGGGACCTCTGGGGCCCCTCTGCCTCCTAGGCCCCTCCCCCATGGAGTCTGAGGCAAACAAACCTCTCTGTGACCTCACTATCCAGCCACTGTGACCTATTTTCCTTAACTTTGCCCAAACTTTATCTCTTAGACAGCTCCTGGTTTCTAGCTTGGTTTAGCCACCTATTGGCTCATGGGATATGCATTTTACTAGAGAAATAAAGTGTGAACTAGTGGTAGATGAAGCCTTTACTTTCAGGAAGTAGCCGGAGGTTTTCCCACTTGAGGTCCCTTTAGCACTAACTCTGTAGAAAAACACTGATGAATTCTTCACATCTTAGCAGGCCGAGGCTTCAGGGATTTGTAGCTCAAGAGTATAAACTCAAAAATAAATACATAAATAAATATGAAAATGTAAACTCAGTTTGACAGGTGAGGGGGAAAGGTGATCCTGCTAATGACTACGTAGCTCCTAAAAGCATGCACCAGATCAAAGTGGGAACAATTCAGCACAAACTCTTTATGGTCTCATGAAAAACACATCTACAAGCAGGCTGCTTTCCTGGGGGACAGTAACATCAATGCATGAATGAAGGACAATCTAATAAGGTGGGAGAAAGGGATGGAAGCTCGAGATATCTCTCTGTATCTACGCTATTAGCTTTGTCTTATGTGAGGTGACATTTATGAGAAGAAACAGCAGGAGTTGGAGTTGTGTCTGTCCAGGTAGGGGAAGAAGATCTACACCAATAAATCCAAGGAGTAGCTGGCTTGTCCAGGGGCTCAAAGAAATCCAGTCCTAGCGGATAACCAGCCTTCACCGTATAACAGATCCATTTATTTACTGCACTGTCAACCACCCAGTCAAACTCCCTTACTGATGGTGACTAGTAAACAGCCAGTTTGGGAAACCTAAGATGGAATTTTAATAATTTAATAAATCTGTATGTGGGATCCGAACCCTCGGCGGGAGCGCCACCGCGCTTCCCAAGCGGCACACTATATAGCAGTGCGCCACCGGGCCGGCCCCAGGTCCTTATACCTTTGCAAAGGATATTAACATCTCCAAGTAGACAGAAAAAGCACTTTCTGCTTCCTCTTGCATGTGGGTCCCCTTTATCCACTCCATTTCACCCCAGGAGGCATACAAGAGGTTGCAAATAGAAAAAGTCCACTGTAAAACTAAGAAGCGTGGAAGCGCCCTGCGTGGAGGACTGAGGCCTCGAAGGGCCAGCAGTCAGGAACTTGCTGTTTGCTCTTGTTAACTCATTGCCTTCCCTCTGCCTCAGTTTCCACATTTGTAAAACGAAAGACTTGTTCTAGGTGATGATGAGGTCCTTTCCAAGCCTCTCAAATCCCCAGATCCGGTTATCACAATTCCTGCCAAGGGAGCTCCTCTGGTGAGGCTGGCAGGCCGAACAACCCTCCGCCTACACCCTCCTCCACGAGCTGGGAGTCTACAGGCTCTAAGAAGCCTCCCGCTCGCTCCCAGCCCGGGGGTCCCGAGACCCTCGCAGGGCCTCGGCCTCCGCACCCGGAAATGGCCCCGTGCCCTTTCAGTCTCCGGCAGTCGCCCGGCTCCCCTCGGTCTCCTTCACGCCCTCGACGCTGGCTAGACCCTAACACGTCCAGTTCACACTCACTATTCAGGTCCTCGCACAGCGCTCACATCCTTTACCTCAGTCTCAAAGTTCTAGCTCACCCGCCTCCTCCTTGGCGAAGGGACCGCCTTCTCGCCCATGCTATTGGTAGGTAGAGCCGCCCCTCAGTGAAGAGGCCGGGCCAGGCTTCCTGCGGAAGATCTAATTGGCCTTCTTGACAGTCACTCGCCTGTATCTGGCTTGCGATTGGTCTTCGTTGGATGAGGACTAAGCCACCCCGGCTTGAGGTCTCTCGGCCTCTATGCCTTCTGGTTGAGTGCCGGCGTCCCCGCCTCCTGGTTGGACCTGATTGACTCCATCTCCAGCCCTAAGCATTGTGATTGGATGCAGCTGCGCGGGGCGGGGCGGCCTGAAGCGCCAGCCGTTGGCGAGCTCTCCCTTCTAGCCCCCTCCCTTCTTTCTCCTGGCTCCGGCGCCGGAGGCTCCACCTCCCCCGAGGGTTCTGATTAGCCGCTTCTGACGCGTCTCAGGACCACGATTGGTCTACCGGGTCCCTGACCCCGCTGCCTCTCCCTTGAGGTGACTACGGCGGCTCCAAGGAGGGGGAGGGGGAAGGAGGGACGGCCAGTGCCGTCAGTCAGGCAGCGGGAGCCGCCGGGAGCGGATGGCGGCGGCAGTAGCGGCCCCACTCGCCGCCGGGGGTGAGGAAGCGACGGCCACGACTTCCGGGCCAGGGTCTCCGGGTCTGTCTGGGAGCCGCAGTGCGGAGCGGGCCCTAGAGGAGGCCGTGGCCACCGGGACCCTGAACCTGTCTAACCGGCGCTTGAAGCACTTCCCCCGGGGCGCGGCCCGCAGCTACGACCTGTCAGACATCACCCAGGCTGGTGAGTGCGCCCAGGCCCCGGGCTCGTGCGGGACCCTCATTTGCATGGTCCCGCCCCGCCAGGCCGGCGCGCCCCTTCACCTGGCTGTCGGGGTTCTAGCCCCTCCGGATCGGCGTAAGCCTGCGACCACGCGCATCCCCTTTCAGAACCTCTAGACAATGAATGCACTTCTCGTTCGCCAGCGTCTCTGGCGGAGCGTTGTGAGGGACCTCTCCCCCGCTTCTCTTTATTTGCATACCTGCGCACCTGTAGGATGGTCCCGCCCCTCACCTTGTTGGCTCAAATTTGCATGACCTCGCCACCCTCAGTTCTGATCGTTCCGTAAAGCAGCCCCCATGAGCTTCTCCAACCACTTCTTTCTCTCCCTCTTCATCGTCTCCAACTCCTTCCCCCGCTCCACCGAGATCTGAGCTGTTCCAGGCATCTCCTTCTTATGGATTGCCCCTAACGCTGATGTTTCTGCTTATTTTGCGTAGTCCCGCCCCCTGAGGTCACTGGCCCTCTCCACTCTTCACCCAGCCAGCTAGCTATGGGAAAGAAACGAATCTCCTATCTCCTCTGACTCTTTTCTCCCTGAGCTCTTCCGCCTATTATCCCTGACCCCCTTATCTGAGATTCCTCCTCCTTTCTGAGTGTGTGAGGTCACTGTGACCTCATAGGGACCCCAGAATTTCCATTTCGGTTTCTGCTTTCCCTCAGGGGAGAGACTTGAGGCGGTTGCTGAATGGCAGGAAATCTTATCTCCTAGCTAGGAGTGCTGGCAAGTTAGAAACGATCCTTCCACTCCTCCAGGGGTAGGATGCCCCTAATCATGCTCCCTCTACCCTAGTGTCTGTTGATGGTAGGGGGTGGGGGACTCTACTGTGACAGGTGAGTCAGACCTCAGCTGCTCAGGAGGAAGCCTATGACCTTCGGCTGGCAGCTGGGGGGTGGGGATCAGGACCGGGAAGTAGGACTGCATTCCCGAGGCTCCACCCCAGCCTAGGCCGCCTCCTCTCATCTTCAGGTGGGGGACATGGGGCTGGATAAAAGAGTGCATTTCTCCCCAAGCAAGTGCCTGCTCACCTGCAGACACTCAGGCTGGCACAGGCACATCCTCTCCTACCATTCTGGGGAGAACCAGTGTAAACATCTCCACTTTTCTTACCCACTATGCAATGAGTGAGTTGGGGGAATGGGTGAGCCCCAGGAGCCATTCCTATTCCCTCAGTCTCGTCCTGCCTCCCCACACCCCCAAGCTCCAGATTGACCTCAGCAGCTGTGTGACATTCGCCGTCTGTTCCCTTTCCCCTCCCCCCTTGCTTGTTTTTTGACAAAGACCAAATGTTATTCTTTACTTCCTTAGGGCTCTGTCTCAGTAAGTGGACTCTTAGGGAAAACTACCAAGAACTCCCTGCCCCTCCCAGCTCCTACCCGCTCCTACCCGCTCCCAACCTCCTCCCCCAGCATTCCGGCTCAGGGTGCAGCCAGGGCTCCTGCAAGTTTGCTTGTTGGGGAAGCGGGAAAATCCTAGCTTCCTGAGAACCCCTCTCTGCCCTACTCTCCACACAGGAATCCTCAGCCCTTTCAGGGCCCAAGTTCTAGGCCAGGTGGGGTCCATCTTGCCCAGAACTCTTTCCTCTGTCCCTTCTCCCCATGTAGGGTGCTCATAGCCTGGAGCAGAAAGGGGAAGTGACAAAGAAACAGAGTTGCCCATACTCTGCCCTCCACATCTCCTTACCCTCCAACCCTGACTAAAAGCTTCAGCACTCTGCTACCCCAATATTGTGAACCCTCTTCTGCTTTCTGAGCTCTGAGTGTCTTCCCTGCATGTTTCCTATGACTCCAGTCCTTGATATCCCTTGAACTCTCTTCCCTGGGGCCTGGTAGTAGGAAGAATCCTGGGGTGGGGGGAAGGGGCCGTGCTAGCAAAGGAGAAGTGTAGCTCCTTCTCTTGCAGACCACATCCTGTGCCCCATGCCCTGCCTCCTCCAGCCTGGGCTCCCTTCCGCTCCTCGCTTTTGCCCCCACAACCCACTTACCCCATCCTAACCCAGTCTCCACCCGCTTCATCCACAGGCACAAAAACACATTTCTGGACACAGTGAAAGCAGCTAGGTGGAGGGCGAGGGTGGGAGGACCAGATGCAGTCCTCCCACCCTCTCCGGAACTGCCTTCTCTGGTACCAGGTCTTCTGCCTGTGTGCACCGGGCTTGGGGCAGAGATTGAAACAGAGTGATTCCTGGGGTATCAGGCTATCATCCGCCTGGTAGACACAGGGCCCACCAGGGCCAGAACCTGACAGATTGATTCTGCTTGATTTCCTGTCACAAGACTCTTTTCCTTGTGGGATATACCCCAGCTTCCCCTCCCCTCAGCTTTTGCTCACCCCTCCCTGAGGAGGTCCCCTGAATAAGCTCACCCAAGTTCTGTTGCCTGGGACTTCCCCGAGGAGGCCTTGGGCCCCTCCCAGTACAAGCTGAGCTTAGGAAACAAAAACTCAGGCTTCTAGAAGCCAGAGCTGTTAACATCTCCAGACTTGAGGGAACCCCAAGGCCTGCCTCCTGGCGTTGAGATAGCAAGCCAGTGCTTGAGATAAGGGGGTGGTGATAAACTCTACCCTCCTCTCCACCCTTTCTACCCCTTGTGGTACCCAAGATGCATGCAAAAGCACTGATCTCTTGAAGTTTGGGTCAGTAGGAGAGCAAGTAGAGGAAGGCTGATGGAGCTGGAAGAGGGTGGGAAAGAGGTAAGCCCTGGGGCAGGGCAGCGCTAATGGGAGGGACCTGAGGACTCCAGCTCCCATCTCCAACTTGATCTTCTTGTCTCTCCCTCCTAGTCCTTGAGAATCTGTAATTTCATAGTCCCTTGGACCTGGCTTTCTGGTCTTAGGGGCTGATGAAAAACTGTTGTCCAGTGTTATGGACCTTACTTAATCTCTAGAGCCGGGATATAGTGACCTTTGGTTTCTCTCCTGTGCTGAAAACAGGTTGAGGTTGGGAGGAAGGGCCCCTGAGGAGGGATAGGCTTCCCTAATGGTCTTCCCCAGGGATTTTCCATATTCTCTCCTTGAGCGTCCCAACCCATGACCTTACTGTTTTCTCATGAGCACCAGCCCTCTTCTATGATCTTTTGCCTTCCACCTCTCCTGGAATCTCAGAACAATAGGAACCACAAGAGTTACGGAATCCAGCCACCCTTCCAGGGTAGCTGTTCATTTGTGTACGTGAGGATGGTATTTGTGATGTTCTCCCCAGCCCCCCACCCCACCACTACAAGTCTAGGTTTCTCCAGCCCAGTGACCTCAAGGCCTTTGCCATCCCTTTGCCATTCTGGTCATGCTTGGAATGTGCTACAGTTTGCAGAAGGCTTTGTTATCTCTCCAGGGAGCCCAGGTTTATAGGCCTGATTCTTTAGGTCTGCTAGGGGTAGGGAGCTGGGCAGCTGGCTCAGGGGAAGATTAAGGTTGTCTTGTCCAGGGTTGGGGCTTTCTACAACTCTCCCTTGACACTTGCTTCCCCTAGACCTGTCCCGGAACCGGTTTCCTGAGGTGCCTGAGGCAGCATGCCAGCTGGTGTCCCTCGAGGGCCTAAGCCTCTACCACAACTGCCTGAGATGCCTGAACCCTGCCTTGGGGAATCTCACAGCCCTTACCTACCTCAACCTCAGGTAGGGAAGTCAGGACCAGGGGACAGTGGGGAGCTTGTCCTTCTCAGCCTCAAGGACCAATGCACAGTACCCTGAGTGACCCTCCGGGTGACCCTGAGAAGAGAGCTAAGCTGGGATGCCATGCCTGGGGAGCAAGCCCACTGCCTTTCTCCCTTCCACAGCCGAAACCAGCTGTCATCACTGCCACCCTACATCTGCCAGCTGCCCCTGCGTGTGCTCATTGTCAGCAACAACAAGCTGGGAACCCTGCCTCCCGACATCAGTGCCTTGGGAAGCCTACGACAGCTTGTGAGGATGGGGAATAGGGCGAGAAGAGGGACTGTCTAGACTGGCATCAGGGACCTTTTGGGGGGAAGTTGGGGAAAGGCCTGAAGTGCCCTAGGGAAAAGGTCTGGACTAAAGGCGGGTGGCCAGAGACAGGAGGACAGTTTCTAATGATCCTGTTCTTATGGCACTTCCTTACTGCTTTCCAAATTCCAGGATGTGAGCAGCAATGAGCTGCAGTCCCTTCCTGCAGAGCTGTGTAGCCTCTCTTCCCTGCGGGATCTCAATGTTCGGAGGAACCAGCTCGGCACTCTGCCTGATGGTGAGAAAAGTGAAGAACTGGAGGGGTGTGTATATATGTGTGCATCTTAGCTCAGCCTGCAATAACAAAAACACCATAGACTGGGTGGCTTGTAAACAACAGGAACTTATTTCTCATAGTTCTGGAGGCTGGAAGTCCAAGATCAGGGTGCTACCATGGTTGAGTTCTGGTGAGGGTCCTCTTCTGGGTTGCAGACTGCCGACTTCTCTTTGTATCCTCACATGGTGGAGAGTAGAGAGAGAGAACTCTCTGGGGTCTATTTTATAACAGAACTAATCTTATAAAAGCGAGGGCTCCACCCTCATAACCTAAATTACCTCCCAAAGCCCTACCTCCTAATACCATCACTTTGGGGATTAGGATTTCAGCATAGAATTTTGGAGGGGAAATAAGCATTCAGTCCATAACAGTGTATCTACTCTGGAGAAGTCACAAGTAAGGATTCTTCAAAGGAGAATCATGCCTTCATTGCTCAGGGTTTTGCAGTATATAAAACAAACTGGGAAGGGTTTAATTTGGTATTGACCATAGCAACCCTCTGAGGTTGGCAAGATATGGATTACTAGCTCTATTTACAAATCTGGAAACAGGCACAGAAAGGGGTAGATGAGTACATATACTCTTGTGTGGAATCTCAAGGTTGGAAGGGGCCTCCAAGATCACCCAGCATCACCTCTCACCCCAGGAGGAGCTCTCTAACACCTGGGTCAGGTGATGCCCTGTTCCTCTCCCCAGAGATCCTGGGGCCACATGCAGAGCCCAAGCAGCCCCATTTTAACGAGCTGATTGTGACGCACCAGCATTTGATAGCCTCTGCTCCAAAGCAGGCACACCTTCTTTTATTCAGCCAGCATTGTTTTTGTGTGTGTGTGTTTTCTGTGTTTTAGGTAGGGACCAATAGATGTGGGTGATGGGACTAAGATCTGGGGCCATCTTTAGGGTTTAATGCTTAATGGGGAGAGACAAAGGTTCATAGGGAAGTGCTAGGGTGGGATGTTTAAAGAGCCCTTGAACTAGCAGGGAGGCAACACTGGGCTCTGCTTGGGGAGCCTGGGGAAGACTTTACCCCAGAGGCACAGGTGCAGCAGGAGCTGACCTTTGAAGGAGAATTCTCCATGCTTTTGCATCCAACAGAGGAACCCCCATGCATAAAGCATGGAGGCAGGAAGGAGCATGGTCCAGCAAGGATGTGGTTAGAAAGGCAAGCTGGGGCTGGACAGCAAGGGCCATGTGCCATGCTGAAGAATGTGAATTTGGTTTCTGAAAAACAAGAGGGGAGTCAGAGGGTCATGATTTTCTCTGCCTTCCCCCAAACCCCTTTCTGCGCCTGCCCTCTTCCTTGCAAGTCAGTACGGGTACAAATGAGCATTTGCTAAGGGTGCTCTCTGGGCCATAAGAAGAGATCCAAGCAAAATGACCTGGGGACACAGGGGAAGGAACAAAGAATCCCATGAACCTGAGGTGTCTGGAAAGATTCATGGAGGAGGTGACGCTTGAGCTGAACCTTGAAAGATGCATGGTCGGAAAGATGGAGCTTTTCCAGCTGAGCAAATGTACTTGGAAAGGCCCAGAAGCTGAGGGACTGGAGGGGTGGGCAGTGAGGTGAGAAAAGTGGGTAGAGCCAGATCATGAAACCCTTGACCATGTGGGCCAGAGAGCTGTAATTTTTATATTGTGTCAAGGGCCATCACGAATCCAGACTGTGCCTTTTTGAGAATTAGCCCAAGGGCCCCTCCCTGTAGGCAGGCAGAGTCTCCGTCAGGGTGCAGGGTTTGGCTAGTACAGGGCAGATGTACTGCAGCCCCCTGTTGACCAGGTGCTCTTGAGCAGGGCACAACCCACTCGACCTCAGCAGCCATGGCTGCATGTTATGGGAGGCTTTTTTTATTTTTTTGTCCTTTTTGAGACCGGCAGCACCGCGCTCAGCCAGTGAGCGCTGTGAGCGCACCGGTCATCCCTATATAGGATCTGAACCCGCGGCGGGAGCGCTGCTGCGCTCCCAACGCTGCACTCTCCTGAGTGCGCCACAGGCTCGGCCCTATGGGAGGTTTTTGAGTAGTGGGTGTCACAGTTTGGTTGGTGTCTTGTGTTGATCCCTTGAGAATGAAGGATCAGTTGATGTGTGCAGCGAGCAGGCGAGAAGACGAGGAAGGACATGTATGGGCTGGGCAGGAGCTGAAGTCCAGGTAGGCTTTAGGGGGAGGCTCAGCTCAGAAGGTGGACCAGATCTGAGTGGGAAGAGGAGCACGGAGTTTGTTCTTGGGGAATGACCCAAGCCAGCCAGGGCAAAGGCTGTGATGAACCCGGGGTGACTGGTGGCCAGAGCAGAGAGCGTAGACGTGGGCACAAGGCCCCAACCTTGGGCATGCTCCTGACTCTTCCCTCACCCACCCACCCCCAGAGCTGGGGGACCTTCCTCTTGTCCGCTTGGATTTCTCCTGTAATCGCGTCTCCCGCATCCCGGTCTCCTTCTGCCGTCTCAGGCACCTGCAGGTCATTCTGTTGGACAGCAACCCCTTGCAAAGCCCACCTGCCCAGGTGAGGGGTGGACCAGGGGGACAGGGATGGGATTGGGCAGGAGTGGGGGTGGGTCTCTTTGGTACCCAACCAGGATCTGGGGAGCCAACCTTTCTCCCCTAACTCCTTGGCATGTGCCTCTTCACAAGCAGATCTGCCTGAAGGGGAAACTTCACATCTTCAAGTACTTGTCAATGGAGGCTGGGCGGCACAGATCTGCACTGGGGGACCTGGCCCCTTCCCACCCCCCGAATTTCAGTCCCTGGTAAGTCCTAGGTGGGAATGAAGGCCCTGGATATTTATTGTCCCTTCATGGCACCAGGAACCCTTTGGTTTCCACTGGGAGGATGAGGATGTTGCTGCCCAACATAGGGCTGACCAGATCTCCCCGGCTGGCCTCAGCCCTGCTGAGGATTTATTTCCAGGACGTCCATATGATGGCGGGCTGGACTCAGGCTTCCACAGTGTTGACAGTGGCAGCAAGAGGTGGTCTGGAAATGAGGTAAGGGCTTCCTTTCCAAAGGAGATTGGGGGTGTCAGCCCTGGGAGAGAACCTCTGAGCTGGGGACCTTTTGCCTGGTACCTCCAAATGTCAGAGTGATGGGTGGTGGCTGGAGCTGTCCTCTTCCTTCCTTCTCCCCAGCATCCCGGGGAAGGGCTTACTTAGTGATAGACCCCATTGTAAGTCCCACACAGGAGCCCAGAGGCCCTGAATCCCTCTGGGCCCCCAGCACAGCAGAGAGGCCATTTCCCATCTCTGCCTCTCTGCTTCTACAGTCAACAGATGAATTTTCGGAGCTGTCATTCCGGATTTCAGAGCTGGCCCGGGAACCTCGGGGGCCCAGAGAACGGAGGGAGGATGGCTCTGGTGAGTAGTGGAGTCGGGCTGGGGAGTTGTGGGGATGGACACGGGCCTGCAGGCTCCCATCTACTTGCTGATGCACCCTGGCCTCTCCAGCTGATGGAGACCCTGAGCAGTTCGACTTCATCGACAGCCACGTCCCTGGGGAGGATGAAGAGCAAGGTGCTGCCGAGGTGAGGATCCAGCCATGTTCCTCTGCCAGAGAGGGGGAGCTGGAGGGAGGGAGACAATGCAGGCTTGGTGGAACAGGCCTGCCCTTAGCCTGTCTGCTGTTCTCTCTTCAGGAGCAGCGGCAACCTGAATTAAGCCCTGTGGCAGTGGATGGGGAGAGGGCACCAAGCAGCAGGTATCCCAGAGCCCATTGAGTCAACACCTCTGCCCCTTACTCCCAGCCCCCGAGAACTCTCTCCTTCCCCTGACCAGGGTCTATTTCTCTTGGGCTGTCCTTGCCCTTCAGGCGGGAGGAGCCAGCCGGGGAGGAACGGCGGCGCCCAGACACCCTGCAGTTGTGGCAGGAGCGAGAGCGGCGGCAGCAGCAGCAGCAGCAGCAGAGTGGGCTGTGGGGGGCCCCCAGGAAGGACAGGTGTGGATACAGCATCAGCTGGGGCTGCTGCTGGACAATGGGCAGAAACAAGTCCCTCCTGAGCTTCTCTGCCCCCAGGGTTGGTGGGCCCCCTCTGGCATGCTGACCCCACCTCTCCTGGTCTTCCAGTTTTCTCAAGTTGGGGATCAGGGCTACTGGAGGAAGTGCTGCTGCCTCGTCCACTCAGGCCACCTACAAGTAGGTGTCCTCCGTGTATAGTCCTCTCCCTATACACCCTTCCCCTGGCCTTCCCCTCTAATTTCGTTTTTGTCTGTCCTCAGCGGCACACCTAAGTCCAATGCCACTCAACTGGGAGCTTCCGGAGGTCAGGGAACTGCTGCTCCCACCTCCCAGGAGCCCCTTCCCATAGCTGCACCAGGTGGGATGGGGACTTTGAGAAGAGTATGGGGGTCTACGTAGGGAAGGGGGTGGTTGGGACCTGGTGGCCTGAGGGAAGAGTGGGACACTGAGGGGATGTTTCTCTTACCTGCCCTGGCCCCCAGCGACTACACCTGCTCCTCGGCCACTCGGCTCCATTCAGAGACCAAACAGCTTCCTCTTCCGTTCCTCCTCTCAGAGTGGCTCAGGTGGGTCTCTCCACCCTCCCAGTACTGACCCAGTGCCAGCCAGCATTCATTGATGTGATTGTGTCACCCTTCTGTCCTGGGAGTTCTCTGGGTCTGTTGACTCTTTGTGCTGAAAATCCCACAAGCAGAGAGGCAGGAGATGTGGGTGCCAGCCCACCGGGATCCAGCTACAAAGTCGATGGTGGGTGGTGAAGACAGCCCCCATGCCCTCCTTTTCTCCTAGGCCCTTCCTCACCAGACTCTGTCTTGAGACCTCGGCGATCCCCCCAGGTTCCAGATGAGAAGGAATTAATAGCTCAACTGCGCCAGGTGAGCAGAGGCAGGATCTGCATGGGCAGGTGCCTGGAATCAGTGTGGCATCTCCTCAGGTTTCCTCCCTCAGGACCCTCTTTGCCTACCCTGGCACTTCCCCTGAGGACAGAAAGGAGCACACTGAGTTCCCTGCAGACTGTGACTGGCTCCTTCCTCACTTCTGCCTTCCAGGTTCTTGAGTCACGGCTGCAGCGGCCCCTGCCAGAGGACCTGACTGAGGCCCTGGCCAATGGGGTGATCCTCTGTCAGCTGGCCAACCAGCTGTGGCCCCGCTCTGTGCCCTTCATCCATGTGCCCTCACCTGCTGTGGTCAGTTGGGGTCCAGGGAGGAAGTAGGTGATGGGACAGGGGACTCCTATGCCCTCTCCCTTACCTTCTTTTCTTTTCTCACCCACCCCCAGCCAAAACTCAGTGCTCTCAAGTCTAGGAAGAACGTGGAGAGTTTCTTAGAAGCCTGTCGAAAAATGGGGGTGCCTGAGGTATGGGGGCTGGCAGCATCCTGGGCTCAGCTGATCACTTTGTGTGGATGGCAGGGTTCCATTTGCAGGGGGTGTCTGCTCCTCAAGGAAGCACATCAGTGCGCCCCTGCCCTGCACGTCACCCTGCCCTGCATGTCACCCTGCCCTGCACATCTGCATGTTGGTGTGTCTCTGGCCTGGCACATGAGGGCAGGGGGTGGGAAGGATTGTCTTACTGCTGCTGCTTCTAACGTCTGTCCTTTGTCCTTGTCCATCTGCCCTACTCTCCCTTCCCAGGCTGACCTGTGCTCGCCCTCGGATCTCCTCCAGGGCACCGCCCAGGGGCTGCAGACCACGCTAGAGGCTGTGAAGCGGGTGGGGGGCAAGGCCCCCCCGCCCCCCTGGCCCCCCCCTGGTCTGGGAGGCTTCATCTTCTTCTACGTGGTCGTCATGCTGCTGCTCTATGTCATCTACACTCGGCTCCTGGGTACCTAGGACCCGAAGTCACCAATCCCTCCAACTCCTTTCCCTCCTCCTATTTCTATTTATAAGACTCCTGCTCAACCCTGTCCTCCCACCGGTGGTGCCTTCAGCCCCTACCAAAGACACTAGTGTACCCCCCTTCATAAACACTGACCTCAGAGGCCCCACTCTGGTACCCCCAGACCCTGTGCTGCCAGCTTCTGGCTCCCCCAACTTTAGCACCTCACATGTCCCTCACCCTCTCAGTGCTGATGGTGCCTTCATCCTTTTCCCGCCCCTGTCCCGCCCTCTGTTCCCCCAGAGGGGTGGCAGGAGGTTGAATCTTTCCCTTCCTCTTGCACCCTCCCTCACCTGCCCTCCCCCCACTGGCTGCTATGGGGCTAAATTATCTCTATTTTGTAGAGAGAACTCTATATTTGTAGGGGAAGCAGGGGCCCAGGCTGAGTCCCTGTCTCTGTGTATAAACTGTACAGACCATGGCTGCCTCTGTGTGTGTGTTTGCATCCGCTCCTGCCGTGACCAGGCCCAGCCCTGCCTGCTCCAGCATTTCCCTCTGGAAATGACAAGCCTCTCCTGCCCCCTGTGCCTTGGCGCCCTGTGTCATCTCCCTTCTGTTATTGCTGGCAGCTTCCTTGCCTCTCATTTGTCCCCAAGCATGGGCTGCAGTGTCTACCCAGGATGCCCTTGACCTTTGCCTCTTGCACCCGGCCTCGGGCAGGGAAGCCAAGGGGAGGGGGTGACAAAGGAGAACTTAACCTGAGCCCCTCCCCTCAGGAGTCCCTGTGCCAGCCACACCACATCCTGGAAGAGGAGGGGGCCCCGGGAAGGGGATTCCCCTACATTGCTGCTGTCGTCCACGCACTGCTGGAACGGCCTTAGGGGTAGAGGTAGGGGCGCGGAGTCTGCCCCGCTCGGGACCCCAGGAACACAGAAGACGCGCCTGGGCTCTGCCCTGTAACAAGGACTTGGTGAGGGTGGCCTCAGCCTGGCCCTGAGCCCCGGGCAGCCCTCGGCCTGCAGGGCCATCTGCCCCTGCTGCGGCCGGGGGGTCTGGGGGAAGACCTGGCCGGATGTTGTGTCAAGCGCAATAAAGAGAAGCGGAAGCCCTCTAGGTTGGCCCTCAGGTGTGAGTGTGTCTGTGAGTGAACGCGGGCATTGTGGGGACGTGGGTCGCCTCCTCTGATGTCGCCTCCATGGCGAGTTCCGCGGTGCCCTCCTCTGTCCCGGGTTCGCGTTGTGCCGAGGAACTGAGGGTGGGGCCCGGCGCGTGATCCCCGCCGCCAGGGGGCGCTCGCGGGAGCCCAGCGGGAGCGCGCCCGCCACGTGGCCCAGGAGACGCGCTGGGCGCCGCCCTCGTTGCGAGGCCCTCAGAACTGGGCCGGCGACCTGGACTCGCTGGCGCCGGGGGGCGCTCGCGGGAGCCCAGCGGGAGCGCGCCCGCCACGTGGCCCAGGAGACGCGCTGGGCGCCGCCCTCGTTGCGAGGCCCTCAGAACTGGGCCGGCGACCTGGACTCGCTGGAGGCCCAAGGTCGCGCTGCAGAGGGAGGCTGAGCCGGGCCGGGTGGGTGGCGGGCTCGGGGGCACAGTGGTGCTGCCCTGCGCTCCCCCAGACGAGACATGTTGCCTTGGCCGCCTCCGAGATGCCGCGCAGGCGAGGAGGAGGCGCCCGAGGAACCAGGCCCCTCGGTGGGCAGTGACCAGAGTGAAGCCGGGAGCTCCGGGGAGGAGGCCCTGGGGGATCCAGGAATACCCACGCAGGACAGGTGAGGGGCTCTGCTAGAGCTACGGCCGGTGGGGGGCATCCGAGTACGGGGGCCTCCACGCCTTTGCTCGGTGCTTTATGTAAGATTAAGAAAATCTTCACTGTCCACACTGGAGAACGTGTATGATCAGCCTCCCCGCACCAGGCACTCTTGGCTCTGCCATTGGGCTCAAGGAAGTATTTGGGCAGGGGAGTTGGACGGGAGAAGGTGCATGGGGGAGGCCGTGACTGAAGCCTCTCAGTTCCTCCCCTTCCCAGCCCTCAGCACCAGTCTCCCAGTACTTCCTGGACCCAGAGAGAGCTGCTGCTGCCCTGCCACCCCCTAGGCCCAGCTAATGAGCAGTCTCCAGGAGCACCAGGTAGGCACCGGGCCTTGCTGCCTCGAACTATCCCTGAGACCCTCTCTTGCTGACTGTGAGCCTGTTTTAATCTCTTCAAGTGTCCCCCCAGTTCCTCTTTCCCCCCAGATGGCCTGGGAGGTAGCCCCCTCAAGGATGACCCTGCTAGCACCCTGGGATCCCAACTACAAGGCTAAAGCAGGACATCAGCTGGTGAGGGTGAGTTGAGGGGGACCTTATGCCTCTGGCTGAGGTGGACATGGAGGGGGAGGGGTTGGGAAAGGCTGAGGCTCCAGTGATCTTTCCTGCCCCTCCACAGGGGACCAGCTGCGGGTCGGGTGGCTCCTTCTCAGGCCGGACCTTGTGTCATCCCTCGTTCTGGCCGCTGTATGAGGCAGCCTCACAAAGGGGCCTCAGACCCCTTGCCCCTGCACCAGGGCGTCAGAATGGAGAGCAGGCACCCAGGGATGCAGGTACTTCCGTTGGTCCCCTGAGGCTCTGTAGTTGTGGGAAAACAGTGTGGAGATGTGGGAACCCCAACCGCCACCTTAGCAGTTTCTCCTCCCCAGGGCTCCCAGTGATGTGCCGTGAGGATGTCTTTCTCTCGGACCCTCTGCTGCCCTGTGGGCAGCGTGTTCCCCTGTACCTGTCCGAGGCCCCTCAGCAGGTGAGAGCTCTTCCTCCCTGGCTTCACCCCAGCTTCCATGCAGGGCCTGGGAGGAAACACTTCTCCTTGTCTCTCCGCAGGTGATGGGCTCCCTGAAACTGCTGCTGCCAGCCCCTGTCATGTCCCGTTGTGTCCTTCCCACCTCGTCCCTGGGCTGCTCCACTGCCTGGCTCAGTGGGCCTGAGCTGATTGCACTCACTGGCCTGCTGCAGATGAGCCAGGGGGAGCCGAGACACAGCTCCTTGGAGGCTCCCACGCCCCCTGCTGGCCCCCCAGATCCTGTCTCTGACCACCCAGGCCCCAGCGGTAGTGGGAGATGTTCTCACTGCACTGACCCATCTCTCCCACAAACCCCAGGTGCCCATTGTCCATAGCCCCTCTGGGTCCCCCATACCCCCAGGCAAGTTCTGTTGACAATAAAAGTTTATTTGCAAAACAGGTTTGCAAAAAAGGCTCCATGTGGCTGGTGGTAGAGTGAGGTATGGAGGCAGAGATGGGCTCTCTTCCTCTACTGCTGCATTTACTGCCCTCCCCTCAAATTCTTGTTACTCATTGGCCACCCCCTGTCTTGGAGCAGGAGAATCCAGGGATCTAAGATGTTTACAGACTGACCAAGCAGGACACCTTTAATGGGTGGGTGGTACACAGTACAGTGCCAGGGCAGAATGCATAGGAAGCAAGAATTCCACCAGCTCTGGGGGTGGTGGGGGATGGGGGGGAGTATTGTGTGAGCACGTGGCTGGCACTGGGAGAGGCAAACTACAGAGTGGGGGGGGGCACATCAGTTTTAGGGGCACTAGTAGTAGGATGCCTGGTTCTCCTATCCCTCTCATGTTGGGGCCCCAGGAGTTCAGCCCTGGGGCCGGGTAGGGATGAGTAGGGCTGGGTGGGGTAGTTCTTTGTCTCAAAGGAGACACAAAGAAGGCACTGCTGGTTTGTGGGGGTGGGGAGGAGGGTCCATATGGGAGTTGCCATTGAGAGTGGAGTGATTCTGTACCAACTCTGCAGGAAATCAGATCAAGGGCTTCAGCTGAAAGAGCCTAGGAAGTTTGTAGTTTTTGGTATGGGGGGGTTCTAGAATTTTCACTCTTAAAAGAATACACCTTCTTCGGGAAGCTCTTGAAGACTTTGAGGCACCTCTTTTGGAAGGGACAGGGTAGTCAGCGGCCCCAGCCTCTGCAGGTCACAGGACCAAGGAAGTGTCTGGGCCTTGGAGCCCCTCTGCCATGGTGGTGGTGAGGTTAGGAGGCTGGGTATGTGTGTGTGTTGGGGGGGGTATTCTGTAACTTTGACCTGTTCCCCCACCCCCAGTCCATCCTTCAGCTAGCTCGGGAGGTCCCCTAACTGGCACCTCCCAAAGGTTCTAGAACTCGACGCCTACATAGCTGTCCTAGTGGTGCGTGCCGGCCCCGGGACATCACCACGTGCCTCCAGAGGAGGGACCAGGTCCAGATCCACGTAGTTGAGGCAGCTGTTGGGGGGCTGCGGCCTGGCAGTGCCTATTCCTATGTAGTCTGGGGCCATATACTTGATGCATATATACTCCCCCTCCAGCTCAGAGGGCAGCAGCGAGCAGGGCTGAGCCCCTGCCAGTCCCAAGCTGCCCCTGACACCACAATGGGTGGCCCGGAGCCCAAGTCCAGGCTCCCCGGCCCTGGACTTGTAGGAACAGGGCAGAGAGCTCGAGGAAAAGGACCCTGGCAGAAAGCGGTTCATGGGCACGTATTTGGTGCCCCCCCAGTCCTGGAGTGGCTGGCAGGGAGCAGCACTAGTAGTGGCTGAAGTCCCAGGAGCTCCATTACCACATAAGTGGCCCGCCTCGCTGTCCTCCATGGGCTCGTAGTCACTCCCAGCTCCCACGGTTACATAGTCCTTGCCCCGCTCCAACCCCTTGGGGAACAAGGCTGCTGCCCCCAGCCTCGCCAGGGTCTTGAGAGTTGCTTGTTCGATCCTCTCACCCAAGCATCCCCGACGGCTCAGGCTGCTTGGTTGCACATGGAGCCCGGGGTCTCATAAGGTTGGGGTACAGAGGGTCTGGAGGCGCTTGTTGCGGGATCCCTGGGCAGTGGTTCAGCCCTGCCACGGATACCACTGCCTCTGAGTTGCATCACAGCGGCCAGAACGATCTCGTGATTTAGGCCACCACGGCATCGGGCGCCTGAAGCCAAAGTTCTCCAGGATCTGTGGGTGCCGATCAGCTGAACTCCAGGAAGAAGAAAGTCTGCGTGGCCTCGGCGGTGCACGCTGAGCATGGGCAGGCTCAGGGTGAGCGGTGGTGATGCCCAGGTATCTCGGGAGCCTCTGTGCCCAAGCTTCCACAGCAGACTCAGGGCTCCCGACCCCAGCCACAGGCGGTAGACACCACTGCCCAGGACTCGTATCTGCCCTAGCCCCTTGGGCAGTGGCATTGGGCCAGATGTCCTGGAACAGAGCAAGGACCCAGGTCTCCTTGTGGAAGCTGGGAACTGGAAAGACAATGGGCTGGTCACAGGGGGCTCCTGGGCTCTCTCAAGAGGCAGGAGTCACTGTGCCAGAGAACTGAAGACGTGTAAACACAATGTTTGAACTTTCGGTGACTGGGGGACAGGCAGGCTACAGGTAAACCAAATCCACAGTCCTCCTGGATCCCCCAGCAGCCCGGTGCTGTACCACACCTGCTCTGCCTCGCTGGCCGCTGCCATGCCCAGGCTGCTGTCACATGTGTAGATGATGATCAGGTGGCACTGGCACGTGTCCGCTCACTTGCTGATGGTGCACGCGCCAGCCAGGCTCACGCTGCAGAACTTCTAGCTCTCCTGACACTCGAGGGGTGGCCGGTTGGCGTGCAGCGGGAAGTGCGGGCACTGGGACTTCTGCTTGCACAGGTGGCCGCAGAGCCACACGTCGGCCAGGCAGGCCCAGGGCAGCAGCAATCCTAGGGGTACCTCGGCAGACTCAGACTCTGGGATCGCTGTGGGGCTGCAGCCTCCTGGCTTCATCGCGGGCTAAAGGCTCATGTGGCCCGAGGAGAGGCTGATTAGGCAAGGTCTTGGTTCCGTGAGCCGCAGGAGGTGGGCTTGAGATGGCGGGCTCAGGGGAAAGGGAGCAGCAACCTGGCAGGCTGCGACTCATCTTGATGCCTAGTGTCTCTCTCAGGCTCCTGATTCGAATTTTGGGGCAAGGGGTCTATGCACAGTGTGTGCCCCAGTGGCTGCCTGGTGGCCTCAGAGGTCAGGCCATCTAGTCGGGCCATCTAGGAGAGGTGTCCTCCACCACCGGGGACTGAGCCTTTGCAGGGGTGGGGAGTATAAAGGTGTCTCTACCAATCTGCTGACTGTGGCAGGGGCTGCAGGGGACAGTGGCTGAGACGGGCCAGGGCCACTGAGAAAGTGTGAGTGAATTGTGTCAGTGGTGATGGCACTGGCAGCAGCAACCTTGGTCCTGGTGATTAGAGATTGGCTGAGCAAGTCCACCCTTACAGCACAGCAGCCCCTCCTGGCTTCTGCCACTCAGCCTCTAGTCATCCACCACCTGTGTACCCTCTTCCCACCCACGAATGTTTTTGTGCTCTTTCTCCAAGTAATCCTAGGAGCCCTGGCTGCTGACCATTGAGCTGGATTGATTTCTGAGATGGAGGTTGTTTCTCTGTGGGTTTGGGGTGATAGGTGTCTTGGGATAAGTAAACTTCTGGACTGGACCCTGTGCACAGAACATACCCACCAAAATCCCAGTCAAGTGGCCACCGAAGGACATCCTGTGGAGGAAGAGGCCATCTCTCAGGAGCACCCCCTCAGCTGCCTCATTGCCCTCAGCCTCTCCTCACCATCCCTGCCCAAAAATGCAACCCGGGGATCAGGTGAAGGTTCTGATCTCAGAGGTGGGGACTCCCAGGGGGGAGGTAGCTTTTGCCCCTTATATCCTGAGAGGTCTGAGATGGGGGTCGGGATTAGGTATTTTTGCACCTGAGTTCTGATTCCAGGACCACCACCAACTCACCTGGGTTGGGGGTGATGGTGCTGGTCTGCAAGATAAACCATCAGTTGACACGTGTTGGGGCCTTAGAGGACCTGGTGATACCACTTTCAAGGGAAGTAAGATTCCTCAAGGGGCCAACACAGAGCCCCTGTTAAAGACGGCACCCGGGGAGGTGCTCCCTCAGATAAGGGACAAGATATAACAAGAAAATGGAAGCAAAGGAACCTGGTTCTTTTTCTCAGACTACTCCAAGGGCCAGGGCAACCTGAGCAGGGGACAGCAGGGGTTCCTACCCATGCTTCACCAATTCCCAGGGAAGGGGCCTGTTTGTGAGTCAGGATACTAGAGAAGCCAATGTGCCGTGTGCATGGAGCTTGGATCCTCCAACACCTTTTTAAAACTCCTGTTGAGAGTGAGATGCAGGGGACCAACCAGCATCACAAGGATAGGCATCCGGCCAGCAGGCAGGTGGTGCCCAGGGACTGCTTCAGGTACCTCCTGGCCAGCCAAAGTACTCCCCTCCCCACACCCCACATGCAGGAGAGACACTTGCAGCTCAGGTGGTGCAGTGCGGGCAGCTGCCTGCCCAGTGGTGGGTGTGTGCCAGGGAAAGGCAGGTATGGATGGAACAGGACTATGTTCAAGGCCATAGCCCCCAGTGTGGCCCAGGGCCTTGCCTGGGGCTGTGTGTGAGGTGGCAGGGACACAAAAGATGTATGCATTCTCCTCCCCTTCCCAGTCTTGCTGCTGCTTCAAGGAGCAGGACACCCACAGGGCCCATGTCCCTGTGCTCCTGGCCTTGGAGACTTACTCCCCCAGGCTTGATTTGAAGCTTCCCAAGGAGTCTCTTCATACCTCCTTCTTCCTGCTCCCCATCAACCAGGTCACCTTGCAACCCAGTCCTGGTAAAATCACAGCTACTGTCAAAGACCAGCTCCAAACCACCTTGTGTCTATGAGCCCTGAGTGCTGCGGCTAAAGCAGAAAGCAGAAGGGGGCTCAGTGCCCAGGGTCTGGGCAAGCCACAGGGGGAGGGTGGGCTGGCAATCACTGCTAGATGATTTGGCCTGCTGGGTACCAGGAACAGCCTAGAGCCAAACAACTGGCCTACATCAGTTGCCCTAGCAACAGCACTGCCCAGACATTTTTTAGCCTGTAGCTCTGGTAACCAGAGACAGGAAGTAGCAGAACCTCAGCACTGCTAGCTGAGAGTGCCTCTCCCAACCTGAGGGGTCTACCTTTGTGTCCCCATGGCAGGTTCAGGCCACCATGTTCTAGTTCTAGGATCCTATGGAAGATTCTTGTTATCAGGGAGAAGACTGGGCTGTTCCAGTGTGCCAATCGCTTCCCAACCTGATTCTTACTCCTCTGTTTTGGGGGGTGAGGGGATGGAGCCCCTCATGCCCCACAGCTCCCAGGACTGACCCAGCAGGCTCCAATGTGGAGAGAATCCTGGGGACTGGCTTCTGCTTCCTCACTTGCAGGAGACCCGCTGAATACAGGCCAAACCAGAGGACAGCTGTCTGCAGATCACGGTCACAGCACTGGTCAGGACACATGTTGAGGTGAGGTCTTAGGCAGAAGTCTGGTGTGGGCCTGGGTGAGTCACTCCACCTCATGGTGTGTGTGCACAGTGGGTTCAGATTTACAGCCACCAGCAAGGCCATGCAGGGAGGAACCCAGCCTAGTTGTTTAGACATCTTCTATAAGACCAGGGATTTTTCCCACTCTTTGCCACTTGCCTGCAGACAGGAGACACAATGGACGGCTGGAGCCTGAGGTGCTGGGGCTGTTCCACACCGAGGAAGGCAGCTGCAGGCCTAGTCTCAGCCTGTACCCAGGGAATTCTTGATTGTCCTGCCCTGGGGTCTGAGGCCGACCAGACATAACTTCTCGACTGCCATCCAGCGCTGGTCAGTGAGCTGGCTGGAGTCCATGTTGGACAGAGTGACTGGGATGGGAGGGAGGACTGCCAGGAGGTCCTGGGCCCAAGCACCAAGCAGCAAGGAAGTCCCTGGAGACACCACAGGGGTGAGTGAAACATACTGTAAAAGGCCCTTCAGCTCCCAGTCCTTTAAACCTCAAGGTTTTTGGAGTTAGGAAAGGGTGAGGGAAGCCGGGGAAAAATAAAAGGCTCCTCGTCCTACTACACTATAACAGAGCTCAGCTTCCCTCCTCTCCTTGGCTCTAAGCAGAAAGGAAAGAATGGGAAATAGAAATAGGGAAAAGGACAGAGAAATAATCAAGGGTGGCAGAGAAAAATAACAGGAGAAGGGAACATAGAGAACATAAAAAATCCAGGGAACCAAGGACAGTGGTCCACCCTGGAAGACCCCACCAGGAGACAGAAGGAGGGTAGGTACAGGGAGAACTGGAACACAGACATGGACAACATGGGTACTGGTTCTTGGAAAGGGGGTAAGGCCAGGTCTGGCTGGGCAAATACCAACAGACAGGAGATATTTCCAGAAAAATCTGCAAAATAAATAAACTGATAACCCAATTCCCACATCTCTTTGCTGCTTTCTGTGGACAACCCAGAGAGATCCCAAAAACGAACAACTAAATGGCCAGGAGTTCCTGGGCCATGGTGGAAAGGAAGATGCCTCTCTTGGCTTTGGGCTAAACAGCACGGCTGTGGCCCAGGCCTCTCCTCAGCCAGGTGGTGTTTACCGCATGCAGTTGTCTTGTCACCACACAAACAGCCCAGACACCAGGGCTGTTGACACAACATCCTCAGGTGGAAGCTGTCTGGGAAGGGGCTGTGAATGCACCAGAACCAGGAGTGGTCTGCACCCATCTCCACTTGGGCACCTACCTCCTTTGCTCGCCACCAGTCCCCATGGGAACTACCCCCTCGCTACATCTACTGAACTCCAATCCTTCCTATCCACGGTCCTTCCTATCACTAGCACAGGACTCAGGTTGGTTCAGACAGGGACTGGTTCTGTCTGGCAGTGAGTCCTGTCCTTGGCCAATGGCGGCATCGTCCTCAACTCAGGCAGTCCAGACCAGCAGAGCCACATCGAGGCTTGTCATGTTCCTCAACCTGCAGCCCCTCAAGCTGGCTCAAAGCAAGACCACAAGAGCCATTTTCTTTTTCTTTCAAACGCGATTCTTTTCCAACATTGCTTGCGATGAGCTTTGGTACAGAGATTTGGGGGCAGGGGAGGCATGTGGAAAAAGGAAAGAAAAAAACCCAGCCAATTGCAGAAAACCTTTCCCTGGAAAAGCCCCAGCTCTGGGGTGGTCAGGAGGGCTGTCCTCCCCCTCCCCACCTGGAACTCCAGCTTTGACGATCCAGGCACAGATGGGGATTCATCCCATTCTCCACGTTGAAGAGCTGTCTGGGAGAGGGAGCATGGCTGGATGTGTATATGTGTGCATATATATATGTATATATATGTATGTATGTGTATGTGTATATATAGATATAATAGTCTATATTAGAAAATTCTCTATGTATAAATATAAAACACTGGTATCCAAACATGACACCAGTGGCTAACTAAAGTGCTTGACAGGAGTTGGGCGTGTGTAAGTACGCAGGTAAAACTATTCATCCTGAGGGCCCAGGATGAGGGAGGGGAGCCGGGGAAGCAAAACCATGGGGAGGGGGGCACCACGGCATTCGGGCCACAGAGGTCTCCTGGGCCCCAGGGCTATCTGGTCACTGCCTTCCGTCGACACCACACCTCATCTTTACTTTCCCCACTGTGCATCTATGCATGAGGCGCTGTGCTGCAGAGCTGGGTGTGGGGAAGAACTGTCCCACGGGGGAAGGCTGGTCACTCTGTGCCCACAACTTCCTCCACCCACGGGGCTGGGAGTGAGGGCAGGAGAGGAGGAGGGTTGTCATCATAACTAAGAATTTGAAAAAAATACACCACCATCGCTCCTCCAGGCCAGGCCCTGCCTTCACTCCTCCTGGGCCTCCTGCCTTTCATCCGTAAGCCCCAAGCAAAGCATTAGCACCTCCACCATCTCCACAGCCCCACCCTGCCAAACAGGGCCCATTCTGCTCT